ATTTATTTACAAATTGCTCGAAATGATACAAAATTAATTTATATATTTAAATTAAAATATTTTTTTAAGCAAATCATTATAATTTTCAAATATTGTATACCTGCTTAAAGTCATCCCAAATCATCTCCATGTCTATTCCTTCAAATATCTTTCTACCAAAAATATTTGCAAAATATGTAACATTTAAGAAAAACTGCACTTTTGACCCCTCAATTGTTTTACTTTTAGAAATTTAGCTCACATCAATTGATTTGAACAAACTTAGTCCTTTAATTGTTTATAATGTGCCACATTTGGCCCCTGATGTTATATAATTAGAAATTATGTTAATAAATTTTTTTTCGTGGAGGTTATATTTGTCAATTAATCTCTACCAACCTTTTCTCTTTCCTTTTAATCTATAGTGGACAACCTACTCCAAACCAAATGTCAACTTTAATTTTATAGAATTCTATTACATGTACTATCAAATCTTACTTCATAACTTTTACTTTCTGATATGGTGGACACTAATAAGCTACTTTTTTTATGTGAGTTCCAATTATATAACATCAAAGAATAAATGTAACACGTTATAAACAATTAAAGGACTAAGTTTGTTTAAATCAATTGGAAGGGACTAAATTTCCAAAAATAAAACAATTAAGGGCTAAAGCGTCATTTTCCCTAACATTTACATTATAAACTTGATAAAAATAAGGACATGGTGACAATTAACACACTCGATGCATTTCAAGGAAAAAGTGTCAAATAGACCACTGAACTTTTATACATTGTGCAATTAAACCATCGAACAAAAAAGTGTGCAATTAGACCATTAAAAACTCAAAAATTGTACAAATAGCATTTTTTACATGTTACATACTCCCATGTTTCTCTTAAATGTGATGTCTATAATGTCAAATTATATATAAAAAATTATTTTAATTATTATTTTTTAACAATTAAAAGGAAAAAGAAAATTTTTATTTAAAATTTCAGAAGAAGGTGGAGGCTGGTTGCCTCCCCCTTCTTCTAAAATTTAATCATGCAGATTGCAGAGGATACAATGCTTCACAACGAACATTAAAGTATCAAAATTCAACACAAAAGTCTTTTGCTGTTTTAATTATTTGGCATCCTTTTCGCAGTATGCAGTGTGCAAAATTATACAAAAAGTTAGAGAACAGAAGTTGGAAATTAAACAAGTAGAATTTCATCTTTAAAGAATTCCAAATTCGACATATTTGTTTTGTGCATAAAGTATCGATCAATGAAACACATTTTGGTTTAACTTACAAATGGAATCTCACCAGATCGGACGAAGGAGAGGACAACCATGGCTGCCTCCATCCTCGTCTAGGACGAAGGTGTTGGCAGCCATGGTTGTCCCCATCCACAGTAGAGCTGCCTCCACTTTCTTTGAAATTAAAAAAAAAAAAAATTATTTTTTTCTTTTAATTTTTAAAAATAATAATTAAAATAATTTTTTTTATATATAATTTGACATAAGGACATCATATTTAAGGAAAACTTAGAGGTAACATGTTTTTGAAGAAAACAACTTAATTCATTAAATCACTAGCAAGAATCGGAACCAGATATGGCGGTGGCACATCAAACCACTCACCGCAACCTGACGTGGAAACGGCTTCTCGAGCTAATGCATGGGCTGCACGATTCGCAGATCGCTTTACATAACCAAAGCTAATCCCATTTATCATAGAGGCTGCATGTTTCACATCATCTACTAAAAGACCGAAAGCAGAAAAACTAGAATTAGAGATAATAGCATAATAACATAATTGGGAATCAGTCTAGCTGAATCGGCGACTCACACAACTCTGATCACACTTCCGCACATACAGAGAAACCAGATCATGGAGGATCTGGAAAATCCTTTCCACTTCAACTCCAACGACAATCCTAACCTAATCCTCGTGAGTCCTCTTCTCGCATGCAGTTCTAACTATAGTTCTTGGTGCATATCCATGAGGATTGCCCTAGAAGTGAAGAACAAATGGTGTATTGTTGATGGCAGCGTTCCGGCACCAAACAGAGATAGCAACCAATATCCGGCGTGGAGACGATGTAATTTGATGGTGTGCTCATGGATTTTTAGGTCCGTACACTCGTCCATAGCGCAAAGTGTTATGCATCTGGACAAGGCGCGAGATGTATGGGATGACTTGAGAAGAAGATTCGCACAGTGCGACGCTCAAAGGATCTCTGCACTCCAAAACGAGATCAACAACTACAAGCAAAACTCTTTGTCAGTGAGCGAATATTACACAAGATGTAGAAAAATGTGGGAGGAAATGAACGCCCTAAGACCACTTCCAATCTGTAAATGTGATCCCCGATGTGTTTGCGATCTCATAAGCCAAATCAGAAAGGAACGTGAAGTCGACCAAGTTATTCGCTTCTTGGAAGGCCTGAATAATGAATATGGAAGTCTGAAATCCAATATTCTAGTCCTCGATCCCCTGCCGGAAGTATACAAGATCTACGTTATGACCGAGAAATTGGAGAGACAAATCAATATGGCAAGCTTAAGCATGAACAATGTGGAGATCAACCATGCGAATGCCGTTCAGAATCTCCAGAATCAAGCTCCTACAGATGATCTAGTTGCTGCTGTCAATACATATTCTGCTAGGAAGTTTGCAGGCAATGGGAGTAACAAAGCCAAATGTACCTTCTGCAATATGACCGGTCACACCATTGATAAGTGTTATAAAAAGCATGGCTACCCTCCGGGATGGGTGCCAGGCTACAAATCGAGAGCAAAACAGCAAAGTGCTGCCTCTGTTGTGGATTGTGTCTCTAGTCTGGGAGTCACAACTGATCAGTTCCAACGGCTTATGACAGCTCTGCAAGGCCAGATGACACAGGCTTCTAACTCAAATACTGCAGCTGCCGTGTCCTTGATCCCAAAGTTTGATGAAAACCATGAAGGCAAGCAATCTATCTCTCATATTATGTAGCTCCACTTGGATACTTGACTCTGGAGCCACTGACCATATTGCTTGTTCTATTAATTTCTTTGAAAATCATTATGTTGTTGAGGGAGAAGAAGTCAGTTTGCCCACTGGTAGGCGCATTGCTGTGAAACAAAGAGGAAGTATCAGACTTAACAATGACATTTGGCTCAAAGATGTCATGCACATCCCGGATTTCCAGTTCAATTTAATCTCAGTAAGCAAGCTATTACAAGATACGGATTATAACCTGTCTTTTTCATCTGAGCAGTGCACGATTCAGAAGTCGTGTGGGACGATGGTTGGTTTGGCTAGGCAGGAAAGAGGGCTATATGTGATGATGAAGCAGTTTGATCCTAGTCCTGAGAGACTAGCTTTGCAGTGTAATAGAATTGAAGTGTGGCATCAACGCCTAAGGCACTTCCCTATGAATAAGCTACACTTACTCAAAGATGTTCCAAAATTGTCTTCCATTAATAAAGCGTGTGATGTTTGTCACCTTGCTAAGCATAAACGATCACCTTTTCCTTTGAGTACTTCTTCTTCTGCTGCTTGTTTTGATTTAATACACGCTGACATATGGGGTCCTTTCCCGGTTCCTTCTCTGAAGGAAGAACGATATTTCCTGACCTTAGTTGATGATCATTCAAGGTATACTTGGCTACGCATGATGAGAAGAAAGTCAGAAACAAGAGAGCTGATAAGGCAGTTTCATAGCCTTGTTTCCACACAGTTTGGTTGCTTAATCAAGGTGATTCGAAGTGACAACGGACCCGAATTTGACATGAAAGAGTTCTTCTTAGATAAAGGAATCATTAATCAAACATCATGTGTAAACACCCCTCAGCAAAACGCAGTAGTTGAGAGAAAACATCAACACATTCTCAACGTGGCACGAACTCTTAGATTCCAAGCCAAGCTGCCTATGGAGTTCTGGAGTCATTGCGTTTTGTATGCAGTTTTTTTGATCAATCGTCTCCCCTCTCAAGTAATCGAGGGTCCCAGTCCATACTCCAAACTTTATGGCAAAGAACCAGATCTCATAGCCCTCAAAGTTTTTGGGTGTCTGTTATGCTTCCACACTGTCCAATCAAAGAAACAAGATGGAGCCAAGGGGTCGTAAATGCATCTTTATAGGAGTACCTGCTAATGTCAAAGGGTACATCCTTTATGATTTGCTTGATAAATTGATTTTTGTGTCTCGTGATGTGGTTTTCTATGAGCTGCAGTTTCCACTATATGAGCAAGTTACACAGTCTACTGAGCAGATTGGCCCTCCCTTGCCAAACATTCCTGTCTCTATGGCTATGGATTATGATGATCACACCAGAGGGGACATATCCCCACTCAGGAACTTTGTACATGATCATGAAGCAAGTGGCAACCGTGTTGATGACACAAGCAGTAACCACATTGATGATGTTCATAGTAAGGATTCTGCTAGTCAGCCATCTCATGCTTTTCCATCAAGTGATGTGCAATTAGAAATTCAGCCACAAGATAGGGAGGAACTCAATACTGCTAAAAATGAGATTAATATTAACCCCCTGCGAAGGTCGAGCAGACACAAACATGTACCACCCAAACTTCATGACTACTATTGTGATTTGGTAGTAAGTCAGAGGTCCTCTCCTCACAAGTTGTCAAAGGTGATCTCTTACAACAACTTATCGCCCTCCCACAGAGCTTTCACCATGGCAGTAAGCTCCATAACAGAACCTCGGACTTACAATCAGGCTATTCAACACGAATGTTGGAAGGAGGCCATGAAAGAAGAGATTGCAGCACTTCAAGCCAATAATACCTGGCAGATTACTGAGCTTCCAGCTAACAAAACCCCCATTAGATGCAAATGGGTGTACAAAGTTAAACTTAAGGCCGATGGTTCGGTGGAACGCTACAAAGCTCGATTTGGTGGCAAAGGGCTATACACAACAACTCGGAGTGGATTACTTGGAAACATTCTCCCCGGTAGCTAGGCTAACCACTATCCGAACCTTCCTAGCAGTAGCAGTCTCAAATAAATGGCACATTCACCATATGGACATCAGCAATGCATTCCTTCACAGAGATCTTGATGAAGAAGTTTTCATGGTTCTGCCTCCAGGATTCCAAAGTGACAGACCAAATCAAGTGTGTAAGCTCACAAGGTCCCTCTATGGTTTGAAGCAGGCGAGCCGCCAATGGAACGCTAAGCTGACTTCTGCCCTTCTAAGTGTTGGTTTCAGGCAGTCCAATGCAGACCCCTCTTTATTCACTAGAGACAGTAATGATAAGTTCATTGCCTTATTGGTCTATGTCAATGACATCTTGGTAGCAAGCGGCAATATGACTCTGATTCAAGGCCTTAAAGACATGCTAAACACGGCTTTCAAGATCAAGGATCTTGGAGTTGTCAGCTACTTTCTGGGAATAGAGGCAAAATTAAGCAGTGATGGCTTAAACCTCTGTCAGCGGAAATATGCCCTCGAAATTCTAAGTGACGCTGGATTTCTAGAATGCAAACTAGCACGGACGCCCATGGTTCCAGGGTCTGTATTGACACGAGGAGTTGGAACACCTCTTGAAGATCCAGGCTGTTATCGAAGGCTTGTGGGCAGGCTCCTATACCTTACGGCAACCAGGCCCGATATTGCTTATGTTGTCCATCACCTTAGCCAGTTTGTGAGTTCTCATACGGACGTTCACATGGTTGCAGCTCACCGTGTGCTTCGCTATATAAAAGGATCTCCTGGGCAAGGATTGTTCTACCCAGCAGCAACGACCCTTAGCCTTAAGGTTTTCTCCGACTCAGATTGGGCTTCATGCCCTGAAACACGACGATCTATAACCGGATTCTGCATATTTTTGGGAGCATCTCTTATCTCTTGGCGTTCGAAGAAGCAGCCTATAGTGTCTCGGTCTTCTTCTGAGGCGGAATATAGAGCGCTGGCTACCACGGCGTGTGAGCTACAATGGTTACATACTCTGCTTCATGATCTGCATGTTCTCATGTCAGGGCCTGCTATTGTTTTCTGTAACAATAAATCTGCTATTGCGATTTCGGAGAACTTTGTATTCCACGAGAGGACCAAGCACATCGAAATAGACTGCCACGTGGTGAGAGAACGGGTTGCTCAAGGTCTGATAAAATTGTTGTCAGTTTCCTCCCTCAATCAAATCGCAGATGGTCTAACCAAGCCTTTGTCTGCTCCTCTGTTCCATGGCTTTGTATCTAAGTTGGGAGTGCAAGACTTGCACAATCCAACTTACCGGGGGGGGGGGGTATTAGAGGAATAAAGTAGATGCTAAAAGGGGTAGTTTGTTAACTTCTCTTTTCTTGGTTTGTAACGGCCTATATAGCCAGACAGTTGTCACCTTCATGAAAGTAATTCTCAGTTTTTCCCTTCCAAGTCTTCTTCCCGCTTCTTCTCTCAACTTACGAAACAATCAATTCCCCAACTAGCTTCCGGTAACATGATTTTACAGAATAATGCCATTTTGCTTCCCCACTCCATACCCATTGGTCACTAGGTAGACGGAGACTTACCGGTATGTTTAATATGCAGGTGGCATCCCTTTCATCAAAAAATGTCCCTTACACAGCTCACATCCCAGCGTGGGCACCCCACATCCGTCAAAGCACTTACCAGCACACTCATAATTGTCTGATCAAACGGTGTTCACACATAAGGATCCTCATCTGTTGTTAGCCACGGATCAGACCCAATGATAGTATCTCGTCCGTTCCCTATGCTCCGTCGTGCCCATCTACCAACTACATGCTTTGCCTCCATAATCCCACGCCAAACATAAGACGGATTTGACCCAGGCACTGCATCAAGAAGATTAGTGTGAGGATAATACCTGCTTTTATACACTCTTGCCACCCGAGAATCTGGTCTTGTTAATAGGGGCCACGCTTGCTTGCCCAACAGGGCAAGGTTCATTTCCCTTAATCGCCTAAACCCGAGTCCACCCTTAGCTTTCGGTACACTCACTGCCTGCCATGCCTTCCACCTTATACCCCTTGCATTCGCCATAGAGCCACTCCACCAGTACTGATTTAGCAACACTTTAATCTCTTTACACCGGGTGATAGGCAATGCAAAAACCATCATTGCAAAACATGGCAATGCCTGCAACACGTTTTTCAACAACACCTCCCGACCAGCTCGTGACAAAAATCTGGAGTTCCAGCTTCTTACCCGGTTAAGAATTCTTTCCTTAAGAAACCCTAGAATAGCCATTTTGTTACGGCCTACCAGCGAAGGAAGCCCCAAGTACCCGGTTGATATTTGCATAATTTTTGAGTTTTTAATGGTTCAATTGTACAATGTGTATTTGACACTATTTACATTTGGTTTTCATTTTCTATATTTTTCAGTTTGACAAAAAAAAAAAAAAAGTTGAAAAATATTATTTATTTTTTTTACTTTATTGGTAAGATGATTTTTTTTAATTTCCAAACTTAATATGGAATTCTATTCAAAGTTGTACCGAAAGAACGCCAGTGTTAAATAAAAGTAATATTCGCTCAAATACAAGAATAGAGAAAGAGACAAAATATGTGTATCATTAATACAGCCCTTTTAACGTTGGGTTGCTGTGGTGTAGTGGTTATCACGTCAGTCTTACACACTGAAGGTCTCCAGTTCGATCCTGGGCAGCAACAGTTTTTCGACTGAGTCTACACAAAACGTTGGGAGTTTTGGACTACTTTTTTGGCTGATGCAAAGTCATTTGTTTTTCTTGGATTTGATTGTGATTTAACTAAGAGTTAAAATACTAGTATTTTTAATGACAACAACTTATAAAGGTCCGCAAGACAAATCTCAAATGCGAAGCATGAAATAGGTATAGAGCATAGTTATATCAAACCGTTGTGGTTATCGTGAATCAATGGTGTATCATATTACATATATGATATCAACCATTTATTCTGTTGCTATAATGAACATATCGTGTGTATAAAATGAAACTAGATAGTAGAGACATGAAGTGTAATTTAAATAATACTTCAATATTATTATAATGAAAGTAATGTGGGTGAAAAATGAAACAAAAAAATAAAATTCATATATAAGGTAAGGTAATTAACAAACTAGGAAAACAGTAACAATCTTTTCTTTTTTTTTCTAAAATCAAAATCAAACTAGTCATTTTACTTCATGATCCACACTATTGCATGGACCATGATCCATAGTAAAATTTGTCGCATATTGCTACATTCACCCAAACACATCTGTATTATTTCTCTTTGTATATTTTTTTTCAACGCAAATTTATTTTTATCTTTTTCTTTTTGTACAAATAAAATTAATGTATAAAATATATATCATTAAAAATTTCTAATTGAGATCTTTTAAATGACACTCATATTGATATATTTTTTTTAAAAAAAATAAAAATAAATCTATAATAAATACATAAAGTCATTACTTGAGCTAGTGTAATGTTTTAGTAAATTAAACTTGAGTCCTTTCGAGTATGATACATCTTAAATCCTTAAGCCATACTTGTACAAAGTTCTCATTCCTTTTGTTTGTCCATTCTTTTCATCTCTTGCAAATATGACCTTCGGCGCTTTTATAGCTTTGAAGTTGCTAAGACATGATTTATCTCGTCATATGTCTAACACTACTATAAATTAAAAACTCTTTTTTAACATCGGTCATTTTTGACATACAACGCTGGTCATTTTGCATATAAATATATAACAATTGCTATTTCTAATATAATATCTATTCTATCATTTGAAATAATTTTAAATAAGATTTCATTTTAACTTTACATTAATTTATGAAACAAAACTTATAATTTATTTGTAAGTAATTTATTTATTTATTTATAAGTTTTAAAAGAAATTGTGTCGAACATAGTAGTCTTAATAAAGATGCTATACTAATTGCTCCAATTTCATTGCTTTTTAATACTAGTCAATTATTTAAAAAAATAATTAGAAAAACTTTTGCATGACATGACGTGATTAATTTATTATCTAATAAAAAAGTTTATATACTTGACAGAGAGCTAATTAATCCTAGTTCATTATATAAAAGTGAATTTTACAATCAAGACCAATTCAAAATGTTTTTTTTTTCTTCATTTGTATTTGTTACTTCTTTTTTTTTTGACAAGTAACAAATAAAAATGAAAAAAAAAAAAACATTTGAGAGAAAAAAAGATGAAAAACGACCAAGAACGATAACATCCATTAATTGGGCACATAAATTACATTATTGCAAATAAGTAAAGCAATTGCATTGTTTGTTTCTCCATATTGAAATGTGATAACCTTATAATATAGTTTTCTCCAATCTGATTATCATCCGCTCTTCATCTGTCATAAAAGGCACAATATTGTTTTTAATGATCAAGAACCATCATTTACATTATATTCCGACCAAAATCTTAAATCTTAAATACTCATATCAAAATACACAATCACATGCATACCTCAATTTATACACATAGTGTTGCTCTTAATAGAAACTCATCCCATACTATGCCCGGGTCTCAAACTTAAGTCAGGCAGATGTGTTTTTTGGTGTAACTCAGAATTTACATTGTCAATTCAATAACTAATCCTCTCACTAAATTGTAGGCAAATCTAATGATGAGTGTGACAACTACAACTTTGGGAGAAGGATGATCATATAAAAATACATTCATAACCTATCTCACACACATGTATATAAAATTTCATGATATATAAATAGAGAATAAGAGGAGAATGAAAAAAAATAAAAAAATAAAAAAAAAAAGAAGAAGTAAAAATACTATTAAAAATTGAGAGAAATAAGGGAGACATTCTTCATAGTAATCACACACATGCTTTTAGCAATATAATCCATCACAATATCATGTCTCGATTTCAAGCTTAGCCCAAAGATGTTCATATAAAAACAAAATCTATCTCTCATAGTTCAACAGGGCAGAAACAGAGAGTATACTTCCCGTTCCCATCTTCGACATGGAATTAGAAATGTTCTTCATATCTGTTCCCGTAGCGCATAAAATTTGGTGGGGATGGAGATTCCCCGTCTCCATTCCCATTCCTTAAAAATTTTCCCCATCCCCGTTCCCGTAAGGGCGGGGATTGGGGATCCCATTGGAGACGAGACAAATTGTTATCCCTACACATATATACACATTTCATAATTGAAAAAGGGCAGCCCAAGTCAAACTTGCTAAGGATGCAAACTTGTAACCACAAGGTCACAAGTTTGAATCTCAATTTTCTTGATATGAGTCAATTATTTATGGACCATTTAGGCTGATTTACCTCCTTGTGATTTTTTATTACTAAGTAGTGGTGGTGGGTTTTCCTTGTAACAAAAAAAAAAAAGAAAAAAAAAAAAAGAAGGGTTTGGAGAATGAGAAAAACAAAAGCAAGAAAGTATACCATATGAAATCGAGATAATGGAGGGAGACATTGTGCATAGCAATCTGGCAAACAAGTAGTTCCTTCTTGACCTTGGCACTTAATAGCACATTTTCTGATGCAATCTTGCGTCGGTGGAATTTCTCCACTGCCCCCACCTTCTACACTTGTTCCCAACATTATTAATCCTATCACAAGGACAAGGATTGCTGTTATAGTCGCAAAACGCTTCATCTTTGTGTTGTGTGTTTTCTCTAATTCAACTTTTATCAGATCTATAATCCTATTTATAATATATGAAAATACGGTAAAAACAAAACCAAATTTTTGCAATCTGGAAGCAATTGATTTGTCCAAGGCATAAATTAATAAAATCCTTAAATAAATTAAATTATTTCATTCCCAACATAATAAATTTACAGCTGTTTTGTTACTTAATTCATGACCCGGAAATGTGTGTGTATGTGTATTGAATATAAATCTCTATATTTGGAAAAAGAAAAAATGGTGAAAAAAAAAATTGATCTAGAGAAGTTAATAACATATCCATAAATAAATGGTATTTGTTAGTTTGTTACTATATATTCATAATCAAACATTTTAACCTAATTAAGAAGGGAACCAAACTTTTAAATACACAAGCATATATCTATCATATACGGAGTATATGGTTAGAAAAAAAAAGGTGATATAGGAATTAATGATATATCTATAAATAAAATGTATTTACCAATATATACTAAATTTAATTAATTAAGATGACAAAAATTTTTGATAATTAATTAGCATGTATGGAAATAAGATAGAAAAATAGCAAGAACCATTAAGAAGGGAACCAAATCTTTAGGTGATATAGGAATTAATGATATATCTATAAATCTATAAATTTATTTTTCAATATACCTATACTATTATTAAAAATAAAATCATCATTTCTTCAATCATGCTCAAACAATATAAAATGAAAAATGGAAAAGAAAAAAGGTTAGCAATAAAAAAGAAAAAAGAAAAAATGATCCATAATTCACGGTAAATGGAAAAGAAAATGGAATTCACTGATTAATACTAATAATAATCAGTAAAAAAGTTAGCAGTAAAAAGAAAGATAAAAAGAATCCCTAATTCACTGATTAATGCAAAAGTTTACATTGTCGAAACAAAAATAGTTAATGGGACACATGAAGGAACCAAAGTTCTCATCCCCTGAATGTCTCTTACTTCTTCTGATACGATTTACGAGATTGCCCTTCAAGTTCCAGTGTAAACAATTCCTATTGATGCTTGCATATACCATGACTATCATCAACAAAAGCTAGGGCCAAACACTAACTCACATTAGGTTATTGCTATAAAAAAAAATAATAATAATAATCACGGTCAATTGTACATGGTTTTCTTCCGAGTCACCCATCCTGATGGCCTGAAAGTGTTAGCTATAGATGATAATGGACAAGATTGTGTTACTACTACCAATGTCGTCTACAAAGAGATTTTTCAATAATGTGTAAATACAACCGGTGATATTATATATATATATATATATATATATATATATATATATATATATATATATATATATATATATTCAAGATGGCAAAATTGCTATATATCTACACAAAAATATATATCTTTCATACAAATGAATTAGGATAGCAATTGATTCTTATAACTGAATTATTAGAGAACAAGCACATTTGCCCAATTTATAAAAATCCTAAACAATGATAAATAAAATCTCCAAAGTTTCAACACTGCATGCGTACATCTACACATTAGCTATTAATTCAGCAATTATTTTCTCGAATTCAAGCATGAATAACATTAGAAAACATAATCGATCCAAACCATATGTTCAATTGCACTATATAATATTTGATGTTTATTTCTTAATATATTATAACAAATTCATTTAGTGCATCGCACGATTGACAAATACTAGTATATACTAAACTTAAGAGTAAATATCATTTTTAGTCCCTCGACTATAATACATGTATCAATTTTAGTCATTGACTATTAAAATTTTTAAATTAGGTGCATGACTATTCAATTTGTATTGATCATTAGCTATTAACATTTTCAAATTAGGTACATGATTATTTAATTTGTATCACATTTAGTCCTGTTGTTAAATTTTTTGATCAAATTTCCGGCCAAGTCACCGGTGACCAGCTAATTTATTTAATTTTTATTTTAAAAATTATTTTAAATAAAAAATAAAGTTAAAAATTAAAAAAAAAAAAAATGCTGACCACCCCATCCTCCTCCTTCGTCTCCACCTGAGATGAAGGAGGAAGGGAGCCCTCCTTTCACCGGAGACGAAGGAGGAGGGGGTGGGGTGGTCGTCGTCATTTGAACGCGAAATGCCCATCAATCCCTTTGTTGAAACCCAAAAAGGCAAAAACATTACCCATATTATTGAATAATTCCTCAGGTCATCCCCAATAGCGGATTTTGTATAGATTTTAGAAAAAAATAGCAAGGTGGAAGAGAGAGGAGAGAAAGATGGGGTTGTCCTGCAAAAATAAAGTTTTTTTTTTTTGTTTTTTTTTTAGATTTTAATTTTTTTTCCCTCCCATTTTCTCTCTCCTAGTCACACCTGTAAAATCTCTTCAAAATCTTCACACTATTAAGGATGCCCTTAGAGCATCTACATTAACATTAGAGGTTAATATGGGGATAATGTCAAATTCATTCTTTCATTTTCAAAATAATAATCAATGTGGAGAAGAAATAATCAAAAATATTTGTCCTGCAAGAGCCAAGGAGCATGTCAGAAAGAAAAAAAAAAAAAAAAAAAAAAAAAAAAAAAAAAAAAAAAAACAAACAAACAAACAAACAAACAAACAAAAGTTGTGCGCGTTTGCGCACAGTCAATGCCTACACGGGCTCGTGCACTGCACGCGTGCAGCGCGTCAGGCGCGCTGTGACGCACAACTGTTTTTTTTTTTAATTCAATTTTATACTTTTTTTCTTTTTTTTCTTCCCTCTCACTTTATGTTTCCTAATCACTCTTACATTCTCACTCAATTCTCCTTAACCGATAATGTTGCTCTTAGGTCATCCCAATAAAGGAATTTTGCACAAGAATTAAGAAAAAAGCTCCTGCGATTTTGTGGGTTTTGTCAAGAATTTTAGAGGTTTTGGGGGATATTGGCATTTTGGGTGGGTTTTATCAATTTTTTATTTTTCCTTTACTCATTTCTTTTTCCTAATCACATCTAAAAATTCCTCAAAAACTACATCAAAATCCTCACTATTAAGGATGCCCTTAGAATACTTCCAATGGAACTGTTGAATTTTTTCCAGATTTACATAATCAATTGTTTAGTAATTGGTGTTCTTCGCATGCTTATTTAAGCATAATTTTTTCTAACCGTTAAATAAAAATACAGTTCAAATTTGTGCACAATTTTCACAATGAAAGTAGTTCTCATGAGTCCACCATGTTATGAGTCCATGTGAACAGATCTAAACCATTGAATATGTAAGATCAATGGCTTAGATTTGACCAACTATGCACTCCACTTGCACAGTTCGCGTTGCACAATTGGTAAAATCTAAACCATTGATCTCAAGCATTCAACGGCCCAAAACTGTCCACACGAACTCATATAACATAACGGACTCATTTGATCACTAGTGTGTGTGTTTGTGTGTGTGTGTGTGTGTATATATATATATATATATATATATATATATATATATATATATATATATATATATCCGAATAAAAATAGCATATAACTGTATAAGCATCATTCCGGGATGTGTCTAAAGCTCACAAGCCCAGTGCAAAACAAAAGCTCTTGGGCAGCCACTACGAGAAATATTCATAGCGGCAATCAATCTGAATTAAGAACAAACACGGAACAAAAGCATAAATAAATTTGATGGAATTATTTTAAGCGTTTTTCAACTACCAAACAAAGCTTGTGTGCTTATTAATAATACTCTCTTTTTAAAAGCTTTTACCTATTTACCAAACAAAGTTGCCTGCCAGTTTCTTATTTAAAAGCTAAAATCAGCTATTAACTTTAAAATTAACCCTGCCGCACAGAGTCTAGATGGTCCGACCAAATCAAAATGCTTAAAAGTTGACAGACACAATGTGACAGGCAAAAACGGTGGCAACTGTTAATAGTATATAACCAAAGCAGAGTTTAATGAAACAAAATTTTACCTATGCGATTTATGAACATATTTCACATATTCTACAAGAGAAATGCAAGATTGTGGAACCTCATAAATTAAACTTTGGGGCAACTCCTTCAAAATCATCAAAATCAAATCTCTGTTTCTCTTTGCCAACCTGAGAAGAAGTATAATGCCAGCTTAAGTTAATAATCTCCTCTAACCCAAAATTGGGTAAACATGAAGCAGGTGATGGAAATGAGAGTGGTAACAGATGATAGCAACAAGAACTCGTAAATTTTGCAGAGGATACCACTGTTTTACCTTTGCAAGGTAAGAAGGGTCATATGACATGCGTTCATCCATATCATTCAGTTTCTTTGACAACATCATTATTCTGAAATAAAAGAGAACACTATCAGTTGCTGTTCTATGCAGTCCTAAACTATTCAGATCATCATCAAAATATTCAAAAGCTTTACACCTTTACCTCTGTATTGATGAATCTATATGTTCAATCATTTCACAAGTCTTGTATTGCTCAGGATCCTCCAGAAATCTAACCATTCCATCCTTCTGGTTGATATTTGCATAAATCTCACCATCTTCGATCTTATAATATAATATAAAACAAAATGCATTAGGCGTTGGCATAGAATACTATGAAACCCCAAATTAAAGCATCATCAAAAGCACCCTTATTCATACCATTTGAAGCACGTGCATTTCAGCCTCCTTCGGACTACTTAGTTGGACCGTGATAGCAATGTCTTGGAGGGAAAGGGTGAGGTATGTTTGAGTCAATCTCTGAATATTGCGTTTATACATGGATGACACAACTTGCTGGACAATTCCAAGGTTATTGTCCTGAAAAAGGAAGAGTAAATAAATTTACACTTTTATAAGAAAAAAGGATCAGGGGAAAATATTTAATTAATGGGTGCTTCAGTTAAATATTTAATTACTCGAAGATCAAAATAGGACAAAAGTTAACACCAGAAACTCACACTTTGATACTTGTCCTTGTGTGTCTGTACACATGTCTCAAGTTCAGAAATTTTCCCAGTGCTATAACTATTTGCCAACTCCAAGTATGCCTTCACAAATGATTGGAAAAATGCACAAGACAAATGAAATACTTATGGTGGAAAATTTTGTGGATAGGTAAAAAGGAAAGGAGGCACATAAAGTAGAGGCATGAAATTACAAGTAACTTCATCAGTTAACAAAGTTACTATCAACACAGTTTGTTTCCCAATCAATACATGTACGGACTCTGGAAAAACTAAAATCTGAAATTGATAAGGCAATACAAACTAAGACTAAGGACATAGCAAGGTTTACGCCCTTCCAAAGGTTGGATCATAAAATCTTGTCAATCATATTTCTTAATTCACCAAGTTCAGAGGTAACTGGTTTTAACTAATTGCAACTTTCATATTTCATGATTATGGAAGAAAGAAAGCAAAAATATATAATCATGTAGGAACTAGCAAATGCAATAGGACAATCAGAAGTAGATAAGTTTTGACAGCACATTATAAGTCAGACTTCATTAAGAATCTGCAGTATTGATGACTTCAGATCTTCAAATACAAAGTGTCCAAGGCTCCAAGCATTACTTGTGCAGCACAGACATCCCAAGACTCTAGATCATGTAAACACTAAAGATATGCACAGTAGTACTAAATTCATTGTTTGCCACATAAGCACAAGCAATGTATGACATTAAAAGCCGTTTCTTGGAAGAGAATGCATAGTAGGACATACCTGAGAGTAGTTCTTTAGGTTCCTTTGAGCCACAGAAGATGTGTACTTTGGAAAACTGGTAGAGAACTGTCATCAAAACCAAACAAAGGGAGTCAGGAAATTAAAAAATTGAACCCACTTAGAGCTGGCTCCCATGTTTTGTAACACTCACTCATAAACCGCAATATCCCAAAATCAAACAGATCTTCAGAAAAGTGACCAATAACAGTTCAAACACAAAGCAACATGGCTGTGTTGATTTTGCTAATTAACATAAACATTCAGAGAATGCAAGGAAGGAAGCATACCTGCCCAAGGTGAATGAGTGAAACCAGTATGTACTTCTTGTATGCTTCAACAGCAATAGCATTTAAAGTGGACATAGGTGCTGTAACAACCTAAAGGACAAACATAATATGAACTTAAACTGATTTCACAAATTAAGACAAGCAGTAAAAGGACAAAGTGGATAAAGAAAAGACATATAGGGCCTTCTCCCAGTCCTTTACTCCTGAATTAAATTTTATCAACTAAGAGCTGGGCAATAGAAGGTTGAATCACTAAAATAATTAACAATAAAAAACTTGTATACATTTTGCAAAAGCTCCAAAGCTTTACGAAATTGCTTCTGTCCAATGCAAATCATCCCCCTGAAAATAAGCCAAACAACCAAAACATCAAACATTTGCAATCAGAAGCACTACCCAGAAATTTTGATATCAAGCAGCATTAATTTCATATGATGTTAAGGTTTATGCAACTGTGCTAAAAAGTTGGCATATTGACGAAACAAAAGCAATAAACACAGGTAACATATAACATTTTCACATTTTGGTCAAACAGATATACCCAGTTAAATAATTATTTTACTCCAAAATAGCAAATAATGTATAGCACAAAAGCATCTTCATACACAGAATATTTCATTTTCTCACTAAAAGACACTATATAACAGTAAGAGGATCAGATAGTTCAAAGCCTACTTATATGTAACTGCAAAGTGGTAAATGGAACACTAAAACTGTAAATAAACCACCAAATGAACACCACAAAGGATATATTTTCATATCTGAAGCAACTTACCCATAGTAGCAATACAGAAAGAAATCCTTAGGCTGATCAATCTCAAATATGTCATCCCCCAAAATGGAAAAACCAATCTTATAACACTTTGTGAGCAAACATAAAAGAAGAAAGTCAGGATGTAAGGTTGTTAGTTGTTCAGTTGACAGCTGTAGTTTCTGAATGGCAGTCAGCATAGGAGCCACACCTCGTATAGGTGCTTCAAGCAGTATAACTTGCTCCTTGAATCTTTTACAAATAGAAATGACTGTCAAACGATTCAACACCAAAATTCAGAATTAAGAAGGAAAGCAAAACATAGAAAAACTAAAACAAATTGAGATTGATGAAAGATAAAAGTACACTTCTCAGGTGCCAAGCGAATTTGATCTGCAGCACATCCATTTATAAATGTTGCCACTGTAGAAACTAGTTCATGAGATTGCTCTTTCGGAATTGGAGCACACATGCATGCATCACTGTAATAATATATATAGGAAAAGCATCAAAGCTAAAGCATTACATCAGAAAAGGAAGCAGATCATCAGACAAATTTGTCATCAAACATAATGAATTGTCACTGTCACAGTAAATTACATGTTGCCACCTCAGTAAAAAGTCAAGTTAAAATTTAAGTATTTATTTTACATTTTTACTTGATATTCTTATTTTTTTAATTGATAGTATGGAAAGATACTATATTGTAATAGAGTCCGTAATACTCAAAAATAATATAGTAAATAAATAAATTGGTAGCATACTGCACTCCAGTGCATCAAATATTAGTTCTGGTTAAATACACATAAGCAAACATGTAGATTTAAACATCAGCCACAGAGTAATGTCTGCAATTAATGTTAATCATGTCTCATAGAGTAACTTTTGCAATTAATGTTAATTATATGTCCTCGGCTATACTCTGTCTAAAGCACCTAAGCTTTTCATTTTGCTCCGCTGCCTCTGCATATGATCAGATCCAATCACGTTTATTTGGGTAAATAATTTCAAAACTTTTAAATTGGCACAGGGAATGTGATTATACACTATAAGATTACGCCTACAGAGAAACAAATCAACAATATACACTATAAGATTACGGACGACATTCTCAAAGGGTACAATTTCCGTGATTAGATAAAATGATATATACCGGTGATTAGGCTTGTAAAGTGTAAACCCTAGCATTTTATGAAAAGCAAAATACACATTTCTGAATCGAAAAAAGAGAGAGAACGAAAGAAAAAAGAAACTAGGTTCAACGAAAATTTGAAACGAACTTACAGGACGTAAAGGTAGCCCAAGGAGTGTTTAACAAGATCGAGTTGAACGAGCACAGGAGCCAAGCGAGTCGACTCAGCGCGAAGAAACTCATCGGACTGTTTGAGGAAGCTGTGAAGCTGAGCGATGTCTTGGGAATTTGAAGAGAGGCCCTGTATTTGAGCTACCACCGATTCAATTGAATCCATCTTCTTCAGAATCGTTCCTTGAGGTTTTCCTTGATGCTCATCAAACACTTCACTGCTTTAATGCTCGTGAAGACATCGCAGGCTTTATACGAGTATGCATATTGGATTTCTAATATGGGCCTAATTTAGTGGGCTATCCATGTACCCCAATAAATCGGCAAATTATGCCCTGGACCCGTGTCCACAATGAATTGTGGACACGGGCCCAAAACGACGTCGTTTTTCAAAAAAAAACGCGTCATTTATTTTTTAAAAAAAAATAATAAATTGCGCGCATTTTGCCGTTAACAGCGTTATTTTTTTTTTTGGATTATGAATGTACAGTTATGCCGTTATGAATATACAGTTATGCCGTTATAATTGTACAGTTATGCAATTATGAAATTATGAACACCGAGCTCTAACATTATGAACTTACAATTATGAACATATATAGTGATAAAATTATGACCATGGAGCTTTAAAATTGTGAATATAAGCTTCGAAGATTATGAATGTACAATTATGGAGTTATGAATGTACAGTTATAGAGTTATGAATCTACAGTTATGGAGTTATGAATCTACAGTTATGAGATTATGAATCCACAGTTATGGAATTATGAATGTACAGTTATTGATCGAATTATGAACAAAGAGCTCTAACATTATGAACATACAATTATGAACATATAGTGATAAAATTATGAACATAGAGCTCTAAAATTGTGAACATAGAGCTTCGAAAATTATGAATGTACAATTATGGAGTTATGAATGTACAGTTATGGAGTTATGAATGTACAGTTATAGAGTTATGAACGTACAGTTATGGAGTTATGAATGTACAGTTATTAACATATAGTAATAAAATTATGAACATATACTCCTATAATGAAGCGGTCTGAAATTTAAAAAAAAAAAAAAAAAAAAAAAAAAAAAGAGATAACAGTGCCTAACGGCACTGTTACTGGTGTCCAGCAAACATGCTGGACACGGGTCCAACGCATAACGATTGCAATAAATCTAAACCACATGGAAATTTTATTTATTTATTTTTTTTTGGGGGGAGGGGGGGGGGGGGTATAAGAGTCAATTTGACCAATTGTTGTATTTAGGGATGTCAATCTTAACCCGAATATGATGGGCTGGACCGATAAAATCGAAACTGACAGTGTTATGGCCCGAATAGGCTAGCCGATAAAAAACATTAGCCCGATGAGCCCAAAATCAATAAGTCCGATGCCTAATAGGGCTAGCCCGAAATTTAATAGGCTAGTCCGATAATTCAAACTATTGAAAGTTATTCTTTAATAAATATATTACAAAATAAATTATTTACATCCTCCCAAATACTCTGTGGGAGCAACCTCTCAAAGTGAGCGGGGCTCCTTGTGCGCAGTGAGCACCGGTCTAGCCTCTGTGGTTCATGTTCAGTTGAGTCACCATGATTTACATCCTCCCAAATGCTCTGTCAGGCCGGGGTGTGGGGGGCCCTTAGGGTTGGGGTTCAGCCATGGAAGAAAGTTATTCTTTATTATTATATAAGGGATGTGAAACATAACATACATGAAATTTATAGGTGAGTTCATCTTTAATATTTTTTACCAGGACTATGTGGTGCAATGGTACTCGGGTTGGACTTTCATTTGGAAGGTTGTGAGTTCGAGCCTCAGTGAAGAGCATTATTAGCTCTTTGTGTTTCAATAGGTTGAGAAAGCAAAAAAAAATATTAACTATTTTTAGTTAGAATTTAGAAATGTTGGTTTAGATTAATTGAATGATGTATAAGTTTATATTTATTAGTGTAAATGTGCTAGTTTGAAATATAATTATAATTTATTTAATATTAATATAATTTATATGTAATATTTTTATTTTTACTTTATAATTATAATATTATTAAGTTATAAAGTTCATAAAATGTATGGTTTATAACTTTACTTAATTTATGTAATAAATAAAATTTACATTAATTATTTATATAATTATATTAATATTAATATTAATATAAACTAATAACTATTTAAATAAACTTATGATGGAGGTATGACTAAGGGTGACGAGTTTACCCGTGGGTTACGTAGGTCATGATGTCAATTTGTATAACATGGGTACCCCTTAGGGGCTAAACGGAAACGGCCTATTTGGATCAGATCGGATAAATATACAACCCAACCTATCTAAACAAAGGCTAAACTCGACAAATCAGGCTTGTTTCCATAACTCTAAATATGGGTACTCACTTTCAGTTTCCAAGTTTAGTTCAGATGGTTCAGCCCGCCCGATTAGCCCGACAACTTAAAGTTTAGGGTTAGGGCCAAACCAAACACAAAAATAAAATACAATAATCGATAAGTCCGACAACCCGACAGGGTTAGCCCGGAATCAACGCACCTTAAGAACACACCTTATGTGTCTGTGAGCATAAAAAGATAAAAGTAAAAACTATACGTGTATTTATGAAAGTTATGAAACTTATTGTAAAACTTGATAGGGATAGGAGAAAAGTTTGTATGTTTAGACAGAGAGAAAAAATTTATATATAAAGTTTAAAATATTGAGATTGGATTGTGGAATTTTAACTATTTATGAAAAAGTTGTATTGAAATTCTAATTTAATTTGATAGAGTCTAAAAAATAAAAATAACAAAAATGAAATAAATAAAAGAGTTTTCTCAAAATGGTCCTTTGACTATTGCTAAAACGATCCCTCGACTATTTTTCAGTGTAGGTAAACAGATAAAAATACCCTCCATTAAACACTGATTAGACGGAATATGTAACGGACGGCTGAATTTGGTGAGTTTTTGAAAGTCTTGGGCCACATTTAGTGCAATTGACAGTCGAAATGCAAAATTGAGTAAATAATAATCAATAAACCATTTTGAACATATATATATATATATTATAGAGTTAGGATCATATGAGAACATGTGCTTAGATGAGAACATGAGAACACATCATGTGCATCCATCTAATATTTTTTAATGGTCTAAATTAGATTAAAAGTGTGCGAAGGCGCATTAAATGTGTGCAAACACACTAAATCGCGTTTGCACACATTTAATGCGCGTTCGCACACACTTAATCTAATCTAGACCATTAAAAAATATTAGATGGATGCACATGATGTGTTCTCACGTACCGTTCTCACCTAAGCACATATTCTCACTGGAGCCCTAATATATATATATATATATATATATATATATATATATATATATATATAAGCTCTACTATTCAGTTTCATTTTCTACATAAACTAGATTAATTATACCAATACTAAATTATTCTTTTAATTCAATTACAATTTCATTTAATAATATACGAATATGTAAGAACTCTCCTATATCTATGTAGAGATGGATTCCTTGACTTATTATAAGATTCTAGGTTTAGGATTAATCTAGAAACTTAAAGGTAAGCCATTCTTTTTCGCAATATAGCACTTTAAGATGACGTGGTAGTTGGTATTGTTAGTTGTTACGTGAGAAACATTTGCCGTCCCAGTATGCGCCCAGTCTAGAATCTAGATGCGTCCATATATGAAACGTTCTATACGATTTTTTCCATGTAATAAATGCATAATAAATATTCTTCTCGTTTAATTTGATGTGTCCAGTTATTAAAAAAAAAAATGTAGTGAAGTTATTTAAAATATAGTTTTGGAAAATTGGCACTTTTTTTCTTCCTGAATTATAAGTTTATACCACTTTTTGTCCTTGAGTTATTTATTTATTCACATTTGTCCCCTTTAATTATTTTAAAAGTGGCAATTTTTTTCTTTTTATATTAAATGGACATTTTTACACTTAAAATAATTATTTCATTTATTTTTCTTATCTAATAAATTATTACTTATATGTATGGATGACTACAGTTCGATTTGAATCGAACTGGACAATATAACAACCGAACTAAAACAATAGGGATAGTTCTTGTTACGATTTAGAATTGAAAAAAAATTAAAATAATTGTTGAATTTAAACTATTTTAAAATATAAAATAGAATTTACAAAAATAAATAAATTTTGAAACATCGGATTAAATCGAAAATGTAATCAAAATAAATGCGAATCGGAATTGAACAGATTTATCATTTACAAACAGTATTTACAAATTTGTTCAGTTCTTATTCACATTTATTATGATTTCAGTTTTGGACTTTCGGTTTGAATCGCCGGTTCAAATTTTATTTATTTATTTGTTTTCGTAAATTTTATTTTCTATTTTTAAAATAGTCTAAATTCAAAAATTATTTTATTTTATTTTTTCCAGTTCTAAATTGTAACAAGAATCGTCCCTATTATTTCAATTTGGTTGCTATAGTATCCTATTCGGTTCAAATCGAACAGTAGTCATCCCTACATATAAGTAATAATTTGTTGAAGAAGAAAACTAAATGAAATAATAATTTTAATGGTAAAAATGACAATTTAACATCAAAGGGAGAAAACTTTCAAAAAAAAAAAACATCAAAGGGAAAAAAACTACAACTTTAAAAATAACTGAGAGGGTAAATATTAATACATGAATAACACAGGGAGAAAGTGTTATAAATCTATAATTCAAGAAAAAAAGTGTTATTTTTCCTATAATGTTTTGGGTGATATTTATTTTAATATAATATAATTTATATATTTAAAATCATATTAAAAATATTATCTATTCATTCTATTTATATGTTTAGATTAGTTAATAAGGTTTGAATTAAATTTTTATAATTTAATTTTTTGTTATATTTCATCTAACATTAAAGATTGAGTTAATAACCAATTTGGTCCTCTGACTATTGTGAAACTACCAATTTGATCCTCGACTATAATCCTTACTCAATTAAGTCCTCAACTATTAAAATCTTACTTGATTTAGTCCTCCGTTAAAATTTCATCCACAAGCTGTTAAAATGAAGGGCAATTATGTAATTTCACATTTCTCTTTAATGATCAATATTCCGGCAAAATGTGAGCGCAGGATTGAAGGCTTGAAGCCATGAAGCCTCTGTTCTACCATTCGAGGTTAGATATATATGGAGTAATGTCAACATGAATATCAGATTATTAAATTGCTACTTTTGCATGCATTGTATCAAGCTGATGAGTCATTTATATATGTATGCATCTAACTAAGCATTCTTGTCTGCAAAATTTTCCACAACTCACGAAGACAGCTTACAATCATCACACTGCTTGGCTACTCCACAGAGCTTGGCAACTGCTGCTTCCTTGTTTATGAGTATGTAAGAAACATGCCCCGTAATTTAAATACACACATCACGCCGGAAAAGCGATCCAATTCCAGAAAATCATACATTCTTCATTCAACATTCAAAGCAAAGAGGAGCGAGTCACCATGTCGCAAAAAATCCACATGGGGGCGAGGCAGTCCAAAGAAATGAACCTGGGAAAGAGAAGCACCATAACCTTGCAGAGGCGCCCAGCTAGAATTTTGCCGGAGAATCCCAAACGAGACAGTAGCAAGAAGCACTACCGGAATCTCCGGAAGAACACCCACCACCAGTCGCCGAGGACCCCAAGGAGTAAGGGCTTCAGTAAAAAACAAACCACTATCCATTGAAGCTCCTCTCCGGTCACCTTGAAACATGGAGAAACCAAGAAGGGGAAACAGGGGAACTCGTCCTGCCTTGATCTGGAAGCTTTGGAGGCCAGTTGTGGTGGCCACCGGAACAAAAACCAACTGAGAACTCCAAACAACAACCCCTGGATGGAGGAGAATCAGTCACGCCCATCAAATTTGTTGTTTGGTGAAGTCGCCGTCAAGAAGAAGCAACGTTCATGTCTCGTCCGAGAAGCACGCACTTGTCAGCAATGGGATGGAACACCAGGAGACGTTGAATAAGAGAGAGAAATGTGAAATTACATATTTGCCCTTTAATTTAACAGGACTAAGGGGGGTGTATTCAATCATGACTTTTGTAGAGTTTTAAAGACTTTTAAAATGATATATTTTAATAAACTTTGATTGACTTTTATAGAGTCGGTCAAAACTTTTTAAAACTTTATAAGACTCTATAAAAGTCTATATAAAAAAATATTCATAGACTTTTATCAACTTTTTATTTTAAAAAGTCTACAAAAGTCATTGAAATTCTAAATTGAATACATCCTTACAAACTTTCAATGATTTTGATTCTTATCATTTATAATTTCTTACAAAACATTTATAATATATCATAAAATTCTTCTTATTATATTGTTCTTCACCCACATCAGCATTCTCAACATTATTATTTTTATACATAGTATGCTGAGACTATTATATGATAATTACTATATATATTATTAATAAACATCAACAAAAAAAAAAACTATTTCATTAGAAATTCATAACAATATTGAACAATAAAATTTATAATAAAATACTTGATCAAATAAATATTTAAAAATATAATTACAAGTTGCATAAAATAAAAAAATAAAATTTTAATATTAATAATATATATAAAATTTTCCTTGATATATTGCTAGGCATCACGCAAAGAACTATTATTTGCAATAGCAATTTAAGACGGCAAACAACAAGGTGCTACTGTTTGTAACTCCAAATTGTTGTTGCGAATAGTAATTCGCTATATGTAGTAACCTGTTGTTAAAAAAAAAGGAAAAATATATATTACGAATATATATATATATATATATATATATATATATATATATATATATATATATATATTTAGTAATTTGGTAGAGTTTAGGTATGAGAAAAATATAGGATAATGAAGAAAAAAATAATTTTATTGAATTTAGATAGGTTTATAGAGTTTAAATAGAGAGAAAAAATAGAGTTTAAATAGAGAGAAAACATTCAAAGTTGTTAGAAAGAAAATTTGAAATCTTGGGGTTGATGGTTGGATTTCAACTATTTATATTTGAGAAGGAAAAGTCTACAAAAGTCTTAAAATTAAAAAGTCTACAAAAGTTCATAACTTTTTGAATACCACATGACTTTTAAAGACTCTTTAAAAGTCTTAATTGAATACCACACGACTTTTAAAGACTCTTTAAAAGTCTTAATTGAATACCACACGACTTTTAAAGACTCTTTAAAAATCTTGATTGAATACTGCCTGACTTTTAAAGACTCTCTAAAAGTTTGAATTGAATACCTACAAACTTTTAAAGTTCATAAAAGTCTTTAAAACTCTATGAAAGTCATGATTGAATACACCCCCCTAAATCGAGTAAGATTTTAATAGTTGGGGATTTAACTGAGTAAGGATTATAGTCGATGACCAAATTGGTAGTTTCGCAATAGTCGGAGGACTAAATTGGTTATTAATTCTTAAAGATTGAAATTTATATTAAGAAATACTATTAAATACAAAATGTTAAATTTAAATTTAAAATTTATAAAAAATATTAAATAAAATAATTGGAAAGAAAAAAGGTTTGCTTTATTATGAAAAGTAAAGAAAAAATGCAATATTTAATGTCATAAGAAATGAAGTGGCGGGGATATAGTGATTTACGTATAGTAGGCGCGGGTTAGTTATGCGTGGATTGCGTGGTCTCTGGTTGGTGGCTTGCGGGGTAGAATATATAGATTTGATTATGCGTGGTCTCTACTTGGTGGCTTGGGGGTAGAATATATAGATTTGACATATTTAATTAATTTATATGTCAAATATATAGTGTCTAGTGTTCACATGGCTGATTTTTTAAATTTTTGTGGTTCTATTTTTTAAATAAATAAGATTTTATAAAAAAATATAAGCGCAATCTTTAAAATTAAATCATAAGAATTTTATTAACTTACCATCTTCAAAATTCAAAAAATAAAAAAGTTAAGTAACAGTTATAATATTTGGAAAGTATTTGACTAGTGATTACCTGCTGGGTACTGTTGTTATCGTTTAGAATGCAAAGTAGAACAATTTGTTAGGGGAAAGTCGGTATTGGCAATGAATTGGTGAATAATATTGGTTTCAAGTTATCTATGTAGATTAAGAGCTTGACATCACATATGTCATAAGGGAAAGAGAACTATTTTGCCATGCATGTGGCATCCTCATTAACTAGGTCCTAATTATTATAAGAGAAAAATGATTTGGAAAAAAAACTGATGAGTTTTATAATTAATTGCAGATTTTTTTAATTTCTTAAGTAGTTAAGTCAAAAATAAATATTAGATCCTCTAAAAACTGAGATCATGTGCTCTTTGAACATTTTGCACAACCCAAGGTCCGGCCTGGGTAATGAGTTCTACTACATGTACTTCTAAATTATACTCCATCACTTTTACCCTTGACATGGCAAACAATGATATGATATTTTTATCATGTCGGTCCCAAAAAAGTGTCTACATACATTAAGAATTTGTGAGAGGGAGTATAAGTTAGGAGTAAAAAGTTGGAGTCGCCCCCACTGATGCTCAAACCTATTACCTCCCACCTAGGAGAGCAACCGAATACCATTGAATCACAAAGTCCTTGATAACATATTAAAAATTTATATATAAACAAATACTATATTGTAATAAAGTCATTAGTACTAAAAAAGAAATTAGTTTATAACTAAAAAAGAAATTGGTATATAACTTCCCGATTATTTGACCAGGTTGGTCAATGGTGACATGGTGTTGAGTTCCTGGTTATTTCCCCATCTCTAGAAAAAGAAAACCCCCAAACTGCCCGGCAATGATCAAGAAGCCTCTATCCAATTTGTTTGATTCCGCCCACCACACGCTAAACAACCTATTTATACACACCCAATCCATTCACGGTCAGCTCAGATCAGATCAGATTCATAATTTCAACGCCAAGCAATTCAAACCAAAAATAATGGAGAATAATAAGAAGCAGCAGTATCAACGCGTGTTCGACTGTTTCGACGAGAACAAGGACGGGAAACTGTCGGCGGCGGAGCTGCAACGGTGCATGGCTTCCATCGGCGACGACTTGACCTTAGAGGAGGCGGAAGAAGCCATGTTGAGGATGGGTTGTGGGGAAGACGATGGGTTGCTGGGGTTTGAGGAGTTCGTGAGATTGTTGGAGGATGGGAACGATGAAGACAAGGCTAGGGATTTGAAGGAGGCGTTTTCGTTGTACGAGATGGATGATGGGTGTGGGTGCATTACGCCTAAGAGCTTGAAGAGAATGCTGAGCAGATTGGGGGAGTCCAGAACCATTGATGACTGCAAAGACATGATAGCTCACTATGATCTCAATGGGGATGGTCTCCTCAATTTTGACGAGTTTAAAGTTATGATGTCTTGTTAATTATTGTAATTAATTGGCCACTCTCCTTCCGATTCCTAGCTTAGTATTATTATATTTGCACTACTGCTTCATTCAGTCTTTCAATTCTTCTGTTTATATGTATTTAGATTCCATTCTTTTTGTACAGCAAACACTATTTACCTCAGCTCAGCTCTCTCCTTTTTCTTTATTCATCTCATTTATCTTATAAAAAATTTGACAGATTTGATTTATAATGGTATATTTTGTTAGAGTTAATTTTACTTCTTTCATATTAGTATCAGCTATATGTTAATTGTCAAACACACGATGGTCATATACACAATAATAGCTAGTTGGCTACATTTTTTATTTTATTTTTTTTGCAAAGGACCACAAGGATCAGAGGTAAATCAATTTAGATTGTTCATTTTTTTGATCGAGTGACGAGACTCGCGAGAAACTCACAACTACTATCCGAAGGTGTGCATGCACGGGGTAAACCCTATCCATTTAGTTGGATTTTGGTAATTCCAGATTGTATTCTTCGTTTGATTTAATAAAATTTCTCTATTTAGTTTTAAAAAAAATAAAAATCCAAAGAGCAATATAATGACCCAAAAGCTGCATGGCAGTGAACAGCTGCCAAGGAGGAAAATCCAAAACCAAATTACATGGCAAAAACCAACTCCCAGTCTCCCACGTCCAAATTACATGCCAAAAAGCGAAAAACCAATTCACACGAATCACACGCATGGCAAGACGCGTGTTCTTATTTTATCCTATACATATGTGCCTATTTGTATTCATATAAGAGCACCTTCAATTCCCACATAAAAATGATGGATAAATTTGGACTCTCTATTTAGTAATTTAGAGGATGTGTGTGGCTGTGATTTTATGATTTTTATTTTTGTTTTTCAATTTTGGTAATTTTCAGGGGTAATTGGAGGTATTTACGTTTGTTTTAAATATATATAGTATTTTATAGGAAAAAAATTAAATTGGCCTCTTAAGTCAAGTGAATAGTACAATTGGGTCCCCTAAGTGAAAAAACTCCATTCAAGTCCTCTAAATCGGTAAAATTGTTCAATTAATTTCAAGTTAACTTCTTTATCAGGTTAAATGCATACGATGTTGGCACGTGTCATTATTTTACTTTTTTTTTTTTATTAAAAATATTATTTATTATAAACTAATTAAAATAATAATAATAATAATTAAAAAATTTAAAAATCACGGCCGTCTAAGGAAGACGGCCATGGCCGACGAAGGAAGACGGCCATGGCCGTCTTCTAGATCTGGACGAGGACTATGACAAGTATTAGTAGTAGGCAAGGATGTTAATCGGGACAGTTCGTTCGATTTGAGCCTAACCCTATCAGATTTCGGGTTTATTGGGTGGGCTCAACTTACATTTTTAATTGGAAAATATTACATAAACTTTCATTTCTTACTCTCAACTTTTACTCTCTCTCTCTCACAAATTATTGATGTAGACACATTTTCTGAGACCCACTTGATGAAAATATCTAATCTTTGTATGTCATGTCATGGAGTAAAAGTGAGAGAGTAGAATTTAGGAGTACATGTAGTATAACTCTTTTTAAATTAACACCATGAACTTTTAGTTTGTATAAACTAGAGCATTTACAGTAATAATAAATATAAACGTATACATAAGATCAATCAATCAATATAAACCTCAATTACTAAATTCTAACTACAAATAATTATTATACTTATAATATAACTAGCATGTTGTACGTGCGATGCGCGAAAATTCATGCCCAATATTAAAACATTGATAAATACAAATAATTAAAAATTATACTTTGAATTATATATATACAAATAATATATGTATTTTGTACACACACATATATAATTTATCATTCATAGAAATTTAATTAAAATATAATTAAGTATTAAATTAATATATAATGATTTTAATAAAATGATAATTAAAAATAGAAAAAAGATATGATAGATATAGGTTAGAATTAAAAACTAACAGTGTTATAACGGTGTAAGAGTAATTTTGTCTAATAACATTGGAATGTACATTGGCAGTGAGGGTGTTGAGGGGGTGGGCAGTGGGGGAATGTTGGGTTTGGGATGTGAGAGGGTGGATGGGGTGGAAAGGGATGTTGTTGTGCCGAGAGTTGTTGTGGGGGAACAAAAAAGAAGGAGGGTGGAGGAGGATGGTGTGGAGGTGAGTGTGGATGGAGGGGAGATGGATTGTGATGTGGCAATGTCAAAAAACGGATTGGGGGCGGGTCTTGCGGAGCAAGCCCGCCGAGAATTATGAGTCTAATTTCTTGGAATTGCCGAGGGCTTGGCAACCAGACGGCAGTTCGTGTGTTAGCGGACCTGGTCCGCACTAAGAGGCCGAGTGTGGTGTTTTTGATTGAAACATTTGTTGGTAAACAGCGTATGGAAGATGTTAGAGTTCAATTGGGGTTTGATAGTGTCTTTACTGTGGAGGCGGATGGGCGGAGTGGGGGTCTAGCGATGTTATGGATGAATGGTGTGGACTTGACAGTTTTGGGTTTCTCCGCTAATCATGTTGATTGTGAGCTACGTTTGGATGTTGGTGCTCCCTTATGGCGTTTTACTGGTTTTTATGGGTATCCAGAGAGGAACCGTAGGCGGGAGACATGGCAGTTGTTGCGGACCTTGGCATCTCGGTCAACTCTACCGTGGTTAGTGATGGGGGATTTTAATGATCTCCTTGATCAGTCTGAGAAGCTTGGACGGGCCCCACATGCTCCTTGGTGTATAAATGGTTTTAGGGAGGCTATTGCGGACTGTAATTTGCAGGATTTACCGTTTGATGGGCCACAGTATACTTGGGTCAAGTCACGGGGCACGAGCGGTATGATCGAGGAGAAGTTGGACCGCATTTTAGCTAATGAGGAGTGGTTGAGTTTGTTTCAGGGCGCACGGGCACAATCTCTGGTTCTCCCCTATAGTGATCATTTACCCATGTTTCTTACACCGGTTATTCTCCCACGGGTCCGTAAGCGCGCCAGGTTCTGTTTTGATAATTTGTGGTTGCGAGAAGATTCATGTAGAGAAATTGTTGCGCAGAGTTGGGACAGAACGGTGGGCCTGGATACGTTAGCAAGGGTGGAGGCATGTGCTCTTGATTTGAAGAGGTGGGGGCGGAATTATAATAGAGATTTCCAACGTAAGATTGAGTTTAATAAGCAACGTTTGGAATGGTTGAGGGGGCGGCGTGATGAGCCGGGGTTGAGAGAATATGAGGCGGTGGAGAGAGAGTTACTTTTTTTGTTGGAGCAACAACACTATTACTGGAAACAGCGTGCTAAGGAGTTTTGGTATCAAGGTGGGGATGTCAATAGCAAGTTTTTTCATAATTCTGTGAAAGCAAGACGCCGGCGCAATACTATTAGACGTCTCCAGGATGAGAATGGGAATTGGGTGGAGGATTCACAGGGGTTGGATAATGTCATGTTGAATTATTATACTGGACTGTTTACCCCGGATTATGGAGAGATGCAGGAGGTGATTGATGCAATTCCTGCAAAGGTGACTGAGGTTGATAATGCTATGCTGTTGCGCCCGTTGAGTATGGAGGAGGTTCGTGTTGCGGTGTTTCAGATGCACCCGGATAAGTCCCCGGGCCCTGATGGTTTTGGACTGGGATTTTTCCAGTATTTCTGGGATATTGTAGGGGGCGGTAACAGCTTTTTGTAGAAGTTTCTTGGAAACAGCCAAGCTCCCACGTGGGGCTAATGATACCCTTGTTGTTCTGATCCCGAAGAAGGCCAGTCCGGAAACAATGAAGGATTTACGCTCGATTGCTTTGTGTAACGTCATCTATAAGGTGGCGGCAAAGGTATGTGCAAATCGACTAAAGCCCATGCTGAATAAGTTAATTTCATGTGCTCAAAGTGCCTTTGTCCCGGGGCGTTTAATAACTGACAATATTATGCTTGCCTATGAGGTTCACCACTTTTTGAAACGCAAGTCCCAGGGGCATGAGGGGGTCGCTGCGTTGAAGCTTGACATGTCGAAGGCCTATGATCGGGTGGAGTGGGAGTTTCTGCGGGCGGTTTTGCTTAAGATGGGTTTGGTGGTGGATGGGTGGATATCTTGCTTGAATCTGTAACCTCAGTACGGTATCATATTTTGCACGATCAGCGGCATTTGGGGCCAGTTATACCAGGAAGAGGCCTCCGTCAGGGGGACCCGCTATCCCCGTATTTGTTCCTTTTTGTGGCTGAGGGGTTGAGTGCTATGATTGAGAGAAGCATGTCTGTGGGCCGTTTGCATGGGGTATCAGTTGCCAGAGGGGCACCTTCCATCTCTCATCTCCTTTTTGCAGATGACTCTTTCCTCTTTTTACGGGCTAATGAGGATGAAAACATTCAAATGAGGTATATTCTTGATACTTATGCCAGGGCTTCTGGACAGTATATAAATTATGATAAATCTGCTGCATGTTTTAGTGCTAATGTCCCACAGAATATAAGAAATGAGGTGGTTGATATACTGGGAGTGGAGGAGGGTGATACGAGTGGGAAATACTTGGGTTTGCCATCCCTAGTGGGGAGGAGGAAGAAGGCTATATTGGGTTTCCTGAAGGACCGAATACTCACCAGGGTCCGTTCTTGGAATGCCAAGTTTTTGTCTAGAGCTGGGAGAGAGGTGCTTTTGAAGAATGTTCTGCAGGCAATGCCAGCTTATGCTATGATGGTGTTTTTGCTCCCCTTAGGCCTGTGTCGGGAAGTCGAGGTAATTCTGAATCAATACTGGTGGACTGGCAGTGTGGGTAGTGAACGTGGGATCAGATGGCGATCATGGGAGGGTTTGTCAAAGCCGAAATCATGTGGTGGAATGGGCTTCCGCCGTCTACATGAGATGAATAAAGCATTACTAGGGAAGCAGGCGTGGAGGTTAGTTTCCAATCCCACAAGTCTAGTGGCCCGTGTGTTTAAAGCAAGGTATTACCCTGATTGTGACTTTTTTGATGCCAGGGAGGGTAGTAACCCATCCTATATTTGGCGGGGTATGCTGGAGGTTAAAGGATGCTTGAAGGAGGGCTGTAGAAAGGTTATTGGCGATGGCAAAGGGACTATAATTGGTAGGGATCCTTGGCTTCCTGAAGATGGGAACCCGTTTGTGGAAACGGAGTTGCATCACGCAGTTTATGAGGCACCGGTGGCTTCTCTGTTGGATCAGCATGGTAAGGGTTGGGATGTGGATTGTGTGAAGGATATTTTCAATACCCGCGATGCTAATTTAATTTTGAATATTCCAGTTAGTAACCGGAGACCTCATGATCGGTGGTTTTGGCATTGGGAGCAGAAGGGTGTGTACTCGGTCAAGTCATGTTACAAGCAACTTACGAGAGTGGACGCGAGTCACCACCCATGGGCAAGTATTTGGAACTTACAGGTCCCCCCCAAGGTGAAGAGTTTTTGTTGGCAGTTAGCGTCCCTCTATCTTCCCACACGTGATATTTTGTTATCTAAGAATGTTGCTTGCCTGGTGGATTGTCATATGTGCAGGCAGGTACAGGAGTCGGCCATGCATCTTTTTGTTCATTGTGGGGAGGCGGTTCGCCTTTGGAACTTGTTGGGGATGCAACAGGTGTGTAGCTATGATGGTAATCATCTTGGTGACTGGTTCTTTTGGGCTCTGGGCACTTTAGATTTGATTGCTAAGCCTAGGTTTGTGATGGCATGTTGGGGTGTGTGGTGCGCTAGAAACGACAGTGTATGGAGGGGTGCTGTTTTTGACTTATCTACTATGCTGCGTAGGTCTTTGGCTTTTCTGGATTGTTGGAGAGATGCTAATGAAAAGTTGCAGGTTGGTGTTGGCCACAAACACACACATGCCGTGTCCTCTTGGGCAAAACCTGTGCTTGGGAGGCTCAAACTCAATACTGATGCTGCGTTGAGGGAGGTGGATAATGCAATGGGGTTTGGATGGGTCTTGCGGGATGATGATGGTAATTTTCTTGCTGCTAAGAATGTCAGAGTGCCCGGGTTGTATACTGTTAGGGAGGCAGAGGTGCTTTCTATACGAGAGGCGATGAGTTGGCTGAAGGGCACTGGTTTGGGTGCTGTAGATGTGGAAACTGATTGTAAGATTGTTTTTGATGCTTTAACTTCGAATTCTTTTATTTCTGTTTTTGGCTATTTAGTTGATGATGTAAAGAGCTTGGCATCTGAGATTGAGGATGTGCAGTTCTGTCATGTTAAGCGATCTGCGAATTGTGCTGCCCACGCTGTTGCTAGGGAGGCCTTTTCTGTGTCAGGTTGCAGTGAGTGGTTGGATGAGCCACCTGCTTTTCTTGTTGACATTTTTGCTTCTGATTTAATGAATTAAACTTTCTCTTTCAAAAAAAAAAACATTGGAATGTACAACATTTAAAGTAAAATGTACACATTTATTTGCATACAAAGAAAGGGACATAAATCAAGGATATAACTTTCATTGAGGCTTATTATGTTTTTAATTAGATATTACAATTAAAATACTTTTTTATTTTTATTATTTATTTTCATACAAAATATTTTATTTTTAATAAATTTATTAAAATTTTGTTTACAAATTTAATAAAAATTATTAAAAATGTGCTTACATATAAATTCTCTATACATTTTGTTCCAAACACTGTGAAACAAAGAATAGCCTTAAATGACTTGAGCTATCAAGCTAGCCCACTAAATTTCGAGTTGTCTGTTAGGACTATCGAACTTGTCAGACTTATTGAGTCAACCCATCAATTTTTGGTTAAGATTGACATCCTTAGTAGTAGTAGGTATTGATATATTGGTAACTATACTGAGGAATGTAAGTAAGTTGTAGGGATATGAAACATGTACTGATGCATGGATGTAGATAAGTGATGATTGAATTGGAGATAGTTTTGAACACCTAATTTGAAAAAATAGTTAACTTTGAATTTCAAAAACTGCTGTTTTCTATTTTCCAAAGAATTAATTAATTTTTTTCAAAAAGTATTCTAATTTTTTAAAAAAATCAAGAAGAAAAGTGAAGAATAGAAAATATGTTTAAACCAATAAAATGGAGAAGAGTTTTCCAAACGGAAACTCAAAACACGTGAATATTTTTTTGAAAACAAAACACGTGAATATATTTGAGTTGTTCTGGTTGTTCATCGTCCCCCAACTATGAAAAATCTGGAAAAAAAAAAAATGAGGTATGAAGACTAAAAACATAATTTTAATATGGTTCTGTTTGGTAAAATATTAGTTTATCAGCCAATTTTGACTATTATTAATGGTTTGATTTGGTTAAAAAATCAACTCTAAAATACTAAAATTCAAAAAATTATTCAAAACAGTTTTTTCAATTAATTTTTTTTTTTAAAATTATACTAAACAGCTATCAGCTAACAACTAATTTATCAAATACCATCCTACACTCAGTTAATATTATCAACTAGTTATATCCTCTAATTAACCGAAACCGAATCAACTGACAGCTAATAACCATTTACCAAACATGGCTATTATATTAGAGAAAATTGTAATTTATGTCATTTTATAATATGTCAATTATCAATGTTTGAATTATTAGTGAGGTAAATGTTGTGCCTCAATTTTTATTACGGTACATATATTGACCCTTTTGTACCATATGGAAGGAAAATTGAGAGGCAATATTTACACCACGAGAGATGCAATTTATATACCTTTTAAGAATTGATAGATAACATTTACAATATTAATAATTTATGAGTGACATCGATAATTAACATATTATAGATGAACGTAAATTACAATTGAAAATTTTACTATGACTGACCATTGACTCGATGGAGTTATTTCCTGGAAAAAAGTTCAACTTTTCCTAGAATTCGTCAAAAAGGAACACCTTCGTAAAACATTGTTACACGCAAAACTGCATATTTTTTCTGGAAACCTTCAAAAGTTGACCTCACTTTATCTTGTCTGGCATTAAAAAGAAAGAAAGAAAGAAAAAAAAACAGTACTTTATTTGTTTAATTCTTCCCAAACTTTATTTGTTTAATTGAATATATACATTCTTGTTTGCTTAAAAACACGTACGAGAAAGAAAATTGTTTCACACACACACGGCTGCTTTTTTACATTGTACTTGCGGTGGCGGCCTTGACGAGAGGTTTGCAGGTGCTTTCTTCGCACATCGGGAATTGTTCCTCCCCTTGGCCTTGGGCCAATTCTTCGACCAATCTCGATAACTTGTCTACAATTTCTCCGGCATGCGGTCTCGACGACGGCTCATCCTCCACGCACGACCGCGCAAGATTCGCCACCGTCACCGCCGCCTCGAATGGGTAATTCTCGCCCAGCCCGCTGTCTATCCACTCCCGCAACTCATCTGCGTTTTCCGACCCCAAAATCGCCTTGATTTTATCGCACAATCGCACTTTCGCTTCCCCTTTCCCGTTTTCTCTAGTTATCGGCGTTTGCCCGGACAAAACCTCCAATAACACCACCCCAAAAGCAAATATGTCAGCGCTTGGGGAGGCTATGTCTTTCTCTGGTGCCAAGTAGCCTTTGTTCCAGGATTGAGGATTGCCAATTTCGTCCTCTGAAACTGAAACGTTCCCTGCTGCCCACTTAGCCATGCCAAAGTTACCAACTTTTGCGTTGAATTCTTCGTCGATGAAGATGTTGCGGCTCTTGATATTGCGGTGGACATAAGGAGGGTTCATGATCTGATGCATGAACTGTAAGGCTGAAGCGACGCCGAGACAGATCCTCAGCCGCTGATCCCAGCTCAAGAAACAATAGCAGGAAGCGATGAATTGGTTTTTCATGGCTAACCCACCATGGAGCCAATCCTTGAGGGAACCATTCTTTGCGTACTCGAATACCAGGAAGGAATCTGGGTTCTGGGTCAAGCAGGTCCCCAAGAGCCTGATTATGTTAGGGTGATGATGGATATTGTCAATGAAGAGCTCAAAATCTATTCTTGAGATATTCTGGGTCTGGGTCTGTTTAATTGCCAGGTTCTTTCCGTTGAGGCGGCCATGGAACACAGAACCTTCGATGAGATTGGAGGGGTTGAAGCTCTCAGTGGCTCTATCCAACTCCTCAATTGTGTATGTACAAATTGACACTTTACGTGGGGTGTGAGCCTGGTGAAGATGATGATGATCATCGTCTCTCTCAAATGACACCTTCTTCTCGCTAGCCGTTCTCACGCTCAAATTCAGCTGTTGCAGCTCCAAATCGCCATTGCCATCCTTGCAGCACGAGCTCACCTTCTTCCTCTTCCAGTGGAAGAACAGAAAAGCTGCTAAAATGGCAATCGCTGCTGCAAATGCAACCACGCTTACCCCAATATAAACCCCAATCATAGCCATTCTTGATCTGGACTTTCTCTTGTGTGGATTCTTATTGCTTCCTTTGTCGATTCTTGTTGCCGGGTATCCAAGTTTGGGTTGATGGGGCTTAGCCAGAGAGCCAAGAACTAGCTTGCTGGTGTCAATGGGGATAAGAAGAGTTGATGAGGATGATAAACCACCCACTTCACCAACTTCTGATCTGTTATTTGCAGTAATGATGCTTTTGACAGTGGTGTTGAACTTGAGAGCCAAGGATTGAAGTGTATCAGCTCTGATCAGAGGGTAAGAGAGAAGAATCTTGGTCTGGAAAGTTGCAGTTGGGCAAGCACATCTCAATGGAACCAGCAAGGGAAGATTGTCCTTAAGTGGTTCCTTCGAATTCGGGTTTTTCTCTCGAATTGCTTTGCAAGTTGTTAGGCCCTCCAAAGACTTGGCAATCCCATAAAAGGTCTCCCCTTTGATGCTGGGCTTTCTCAGCTCTGCTCCATAGAATCCACCAACACATTTGCAGTGAATGGGGATGAAGAGAGGGTAGTTGAGGGGGAGGAATTCTGTGTCAGCAGAGAGGGCATTAGCTTCAGAAACCTGGAATCTGTTGATTCCCAGGTAAAAGCTCAGATTGGAAAGAGAAGAGTAATAGGAATTAGTGAAGAGAAGAGCAAATGTTGTGCAGTGTGTTTGTGATCTGTTTTGATCACAGTGATAGCCAGAAGCAGAAGGAGATGTTGATTCACAGCTCAGTAAATTATCCTCTCCCAAAGAAAAAACAATTGCCCATAATCCCCATGAGAACAAAACTAAAGCTCTCAGCTGGACCTCACAGATCATGGCTTGGGTACTAGTAGAGCAGGTGCAGGACCACTGATGAGTTGCACATGGATGGATCTCTTTGGAGACAAATTTAAATAACTTTCACCCAATAGCAATGGGTGGTGGATATTTTGGATCTATAAAACTCAGTTGTATAAAAAGGGAGGAGGAGGGCAATAAGACAAGAGTCTTGGGTGCAGCAACTCTTTCACATATTTTACAGACATCAATCCGCTGGGGTGGCTATCCATCCCAAGACTGTTGGGCAGGGGAGATTGTTGGGTGGAGACATGTGAAGAGTCAAGTCCAGCATCATGCCTTTTGAAAATGTGACAGTATAAGGAATAAAGTTGTGCCTTTGATGCGAGATATAATTTTTAACGTAATGGTATTAAGTGATTGATCCTAACAAGTAGTATCAAAGTCAGATCACGAGTAAGACTGTAAAGCGTTGAAAGGGGGAATTGGGCGGAGGTCGGTGAAGGGCCAAGTCCAACACCCGGTGGTTATTAGAGGAATTGTTGGGCGGAGGCTGGTGAAGGGTTAAGTCCAGCACTCAATGGCTGAGGGATTGTTGGGCGTAAGCTGATGAAAGGTCAAGTATAACACCATGCCTCTTGAAAATGTGGTTGTATAAAGAAATAAAGTTACATCTTTGCTGCGAGTTATAACTGTTGGCATAATGGTAGTAAGCGTTTGATCCTAACAAGTGCTATCAAAGCCAAGTCGCAAGTAAGGCTAGCAGGTGCCGCGAATTGGGATGAGACTAGTGAATGATCAAGTCCAACACCTAATAACTAGGGAAATTGTTGAGCGGAGGCTGGTGAAGAGCCACCCTACCTCTCGAAAATGTAACGGTATAATGAAATAAAGTTACGCCGCACTTGATTGTAATAAAGAGCCATGTTTTCATCCCCCATCAACTAATTCTACTTTAAAGAACCACTTAGTCCTCACAACACTACATTCATTCATGCACTTGAAAAAGGTGGCTCTGGCTCTACTAACAAGTAGTAATTTAAGAATTATTCTTGTCCATGAAAAAGCTACCAGCTAGGGAGTAATATAATTCACTTCACCAGAAATTTTAGATTTCAAACCAAGACTCATGATTAGGGAGAACATCTGCGAACTAGGCTTGAAAAGTATAGGATAGGAACCCATCCACCCCATGCAGTACTGCAACACTAACTTAAAGGACAGTGCAAAAAAGTTATGTACAAACGTAAGATAGCTCAGTCACGTACACAAATTAAAATCACATCTTTTCATTATTCATCGCTACATTTAATAGGAGACTATACGTTAGTGTGCTTTGATTGTGGGTGGCAGAAAATAGACATGAAATGGACAGGGGAGAGGATAAGCAATATCTACATGCATTGAATAGACCTCATTGCCTGCTAAAGATGGGGCACTTACAAGAGAACCTATAGAAGTAGGCCGGAGAAGACGATGCCTCGACCTCTCATTTTCCTAGCTTAGCTTAAAATTGGCTATGTTAGTAAACTTAGGCTTTTTTTTTTAGGGAGGTATGTGAATGTGGGTGATATTGAGATGGATGGAATAGTGATAATTAGATTAATTATAATTTATCTATTAGGTGAAGTTAGTAATTAATTTAATATTTCTTTTGGGCAGGGTGGATGAAGGGCCAAGTCCAGCATCCTATCCTTCGAAAATGTGATAGAAGTTTATAAGGAAATAAAGCTTTTGGCGTAGTGGTAAGCGCTTATAATCCTAACAAGTGATATCAGAACAGGAATTGTTGGGCGGAGGCCTAAGTCCAACATCCTGCCAGGCTCTCGAAAATGTGAGGTGGCCTTCACAGCTAGCTATAGCTTTTGGCGTAGTGGTAAGCGTGGGATCTTAACAATTTCTTTTGGAGATTGGTGAAATTGAAATAGTTAATTAAAATAGCGACAATGAAATTAAATGTTATTTATTGAAAAAAGTATCAAATATATCATTTTTATACAATTGTGTCAATCAACCATTTTCAAAAAAAAAAAAAAAGTGTCAATCAACCATTAGACAAGCAATTGATACATTTTTTCAATTTCTTCTAGCGTAATTTGTGTTGCAAATATTTTTTTTTTTTTTTTTTTTTTTTTTTGTTTCGGTTAGCATGGTAGAGGAAGTTTAGTGGTTGGATTCTAGTCATTCTACTAGGAGAAATCAGAAAAAAAAAATCTCAATTACACATATTTTACTTGTTTAATGGTTTACTTATATATATTTTGTATTCTAATGACCTAATTACAAAAAAAAAAAAAAAAAAAAGTTCAATGACCTATTTCACACCTTTTCTTTATTTATTTGTGTTGAAACAAGTTAGCAAATTAAACTTAAAAGAAAATCTTCTCCCAAAAGGTTAAATTCTCAAACCCAAGGGTCTCTATACCTCTGTCCGACAAAGTATTTGAGAGGATGTAAATACTCGGTCAAGTGCTGGTACGCATAAGAGATCTACCAACTTTAGACGTATATAATCCCTACACTGTATTGCCGCCGCTAAGGTTCGAGCCTTGGGCTCTTCTCTCAAATACTGTTTATTGAACCATTGAGCTAAACAGATGCGGACAACTTAAAAGAAAATCTGAGTTTTGGAGATGTAGAGTATGTAGGAGAATGGCATGAACGTGGCAAGTGCATACCAAAAGAAATTGAATATAGTTTATCTAAACTAAACCGATATGATAGATCTGCTTGCATGTGCTGGGTATATCTGCTGGGATACACATGCATGGGAATTCAAATTAATTAGGACGAGGAAGATACAAGGTTTCTTTTGCCAATAATAACAGCTGGCGTCACTGGCCAGTAACACACCATAACATTAATATAATTCCATTACATTTTAAATAAGTATATCCTGCAAACGGGGATTAGTTTAAATATAAAACGGACTTAATTGTATATTTACAATTAGAGTCTGCTTAGAATATTTCGTGGTCTGACAAAAAAAAAAAATGAAGAGTATATCCCTGAAGGCAAATACATTTTCGAGATCAGACGGAGCCACAATGGGGGCAGTGGGGGCAGCTGCCCCCACTCCCCCATCCCTTAGATATTGTATATATATAACATATACCAAGTTGTATGCAAAGGTTTACTTAGTTTAGATGGCAAGCCCTTTGTTTTTGTATGGAATGGTCACCAGTTCGAATCCTAAAGCAGTTATTTGTGAACTTTTGCTCCACTGCTATCCAGTATGTTTATATGTGAGTTATATGTCTTAAGTTATTTTTATATTGTCTGTATATACATGTTTTGTGCATAGTCCATTGCTTATAAGTTACGAGTTTTTTTTTTTTTTTTTTTTTTTTTCGGTTATGAAAAATTTCTTTAAAAGAAATTTTACTTTCTAGGATTCATTAGTCAAGTAGAATTTTGCCCCCACTCACAACAAATTCTGGATCCGCCACTAGAGATCAGTATGAATTTTTTTTTTTATTTACTTTTTTTTTTGACTAGTTGGCAAACATGCTTAATTATAGCACACCCCTTTTGATATTTTCCATCCTTCAATTCTTCAAATCTAAAGGTGAAACATCAGCTATCAACCTAGACGTGGAGGCCTGCCCTACATTAGTTATCCCACAATGATAGTCGATATATATATATATATATATACTCTTCTCAATGAATATTCTTCTCAAATTTTAATTATAAGAAAAAGTTTAAATTAGCCACCAAACTACATAAAAAAAAATACAAATGGGTCATTCAATTAAAAAAAATACAGAGTACAATTAGTGTTTTTTAATTGCCCAAAATTATGCAATTCAACAAAAATTGATCAATTCCTCCCGTTATCCATAACGTGACAGTCATTTTATTAAAATATGTTTTAAAATTATTTTTATAATTTTAAATAAAATAAAACTAAAAAAACAAAACCAAAAAAAAGGTTATGTAGATAATATGAATAATGGTGGTGATGAGATAATAAGTAGATATATATGAGTGGTGATAGGGTAGGTAAGTAATAGACAATGTATATAAATAGATAGTTGAGTAGATGTCATGAGTAGATAGATAATTGAAGTGAAAGTTTGTAGGTAATAATAACAACGATTATAAATAAAGTTAATATTTGCTTTTGTATTTGTAAAAATATGGAAAACAAGAAAAATTTGTTTTCCAAATCATTTGTTAAATTGAAAAAAATAGAAAAAGGAAACAATTTTCTAGATGAAAAAAAATGGGAAATAGTACTAAAAACACATTTTCTATTATCTGATTTTTTTTTTCATTTTTCAAGAAAAATGCAAAAAGTTTCCATAAATACTCTTCACTTAGGGACAGTTAGGGTGCTTATTTGATCAATTTTTTTTTTAATATTTTATCTTTTATGATTGTTATAACCAACAAATCTATTCAAGAAGATAAGAGATAATATTTTGGTTTATTTTAAAAAAAAAAAAATTTGTAGATCAGATATTCTCTTCTTCCTTGTACTTCTTTCTTGTATTATATGGTTGAAGTCTTTTGAGTTTTAGTATAGTTGATACCTCAGCTCTAATTTGTCTTTTATGATCTAATAATGTTTTATGTATTGTTTATCAAACCTTCTCTTTTAATTCTAACATTTTCTTCTTATGATGTTTTAACTCTTCTGATCTGTATAGCCTACTCTTCTATTAAGCCAACTCTTTTGTTAGACTTTATCCTTAATGAAAATCAATGGTTTTGGATTTAAAATTTTTCCTTGACAATTTTCTTAAAAGAAAAATTACATATTATTTAGGGATTCTAATTTCTTGATAAGTTAGAGTTTGATATGATATTCATCAATTCTTGACACACGTCACCAGTTGACTCTGATAGTTTCAAACCAAACTGTGTAAGCTTTTACATACATTAATTATTACATCCATAAAGTATCAATTCAAGCACAGAACAACAAAAGAGCTTATTATTATTCCAGACAGAATGCAAAGAGGGAGGTTCCTCCTGTGAAGATTGGAATTCCTGCTCCGATAGAAACCCGATATCCATTACCAACATACACACATCCATTGCTCACTGACATGCCTCCATACACAGTCGCCCCAGTGTAATATGACCATAGTATTTCTCCCGTCTTCGCATTAATGGCGAAAACCGGCCCTCTTGGATGTACTGAGCCAGCAAACAGGACTCCATTGGCAACAGTCACAGGGTTTGACAAGCCAGTATCTGGAACTGCTGTTGACCACAGTATTTTCCCTGTTTGTGCATCCATGGCCACCCACCCACCACCAATGGTCACGTTCTTGGAGGGTAAAAGTGTGAAGTTTAACCTGTTGCTATTTGCAATGCTTGTATACACCCTTTCATTGTCTGTGGCTGCTCCCCAAGTTCCACCACCAACAAAACCTCCAGGACCAGCTTCCTAACATCACATATATTTTAACTGTCATGCAAATTAAATCAACCACTCACTAAAGAATTGGCATGGGAAAATTGGGCCAGTTTTTCGTTTTTTTAAGTTATAGGGTAATGGTAGGATTCGTCTTTACTTGTTGGTTGTACTCACTTCTCATCCCTTAAGTTATAACTGACGTTGCAAATTTCATTATTTTTCTAATAGGTCGTGCTTAGTTCTCGTCCCTAAGTTATAACTGAGGTTGCAAATTTTGTCATTTTTCTAATAGGTCATGGTCACTTCTTGTCCCTAAGCTATAATTCATCACGTTGAAAATTTCATTTTCCCTAATGTTTTGTTTGAAAAATGAATAGCTTAACGTCGAGAAGTAAACACGACGACCAACAAGCAGTGTTGTAATAATCGACTTAATTAGGCACCAACTAGGCACTAGACGCCCCTAGGCCGAGGCGATTTCAGCACTAGGCGGCTTTTAGTCAGCTGACTGACTAACCAACCGACTAGTACCCTAGGCGCCAACTCAGCCGAGTTGAGTGCCTAACTCAACTGAGTCGATGCCTAACTCGGCCGAGCTATTTGTTTTTTTGCCTACTCGACTACTACTCTTCTATATTTCTCCAGTCATATACTCAACTAACCATCTAATATATGCAGTTGACTAGTTTGGATGATTATAACAATCTAACAATTCCCAACCCTAAGTGGAAAAAGTGAAGACGATATACTCGGATTACTAGGCAGCCTAGGTGCTCTAGGCGCTCCTCAGGCGTCCTACTAGCGACTAGGGCCTAGTGCCTTCTCTAACATTGCAAACAAATAAGGACGAACCCTACAATTACCATATAATAGGGACAAAAAGTGTAATTTTTCAATTCCAAATTCTACTACCATGCAATCATGCATATATATATATATATATATATATATATACACGGATCAGAGGTGGCAAGAAATATAAAAGAATGCAACTTACAGTATACCACACCATTTCTCCATTATCACGATCCAAGGCCCAAGCAAATCCACTTTTTTGGACAGCCACAACAATGTCGCGTGTACTTCCATTCACCACTACACTTAGCATCATTGGTGCTTCTCCAAAATCTGCATCTGGGTTTGGCCCAGGAGGGCAATTTGGAGTAGAAGATGAATTAATGCACGCAATGAAGAACACATCATAGCCCCCAAGTTGTCTAAACCACTTGATTTTACCAGTATCCAAATCCAATGCCAGTATTGAGTCTGAATGGTTTTCAGGCTCAACACACTTGTCTGAAGTAGTAGGAGTAGTAGTTTTATTGTTCTGTTTTTCCTGACATTTGAGGACGTGTTTTGGTGCTGAGTATAGGTTTCCAGTGGCAATATAAACGTGGCCTCTATGAGCATCTATAGAAGGGCTACTTCCCCATATAGCTGCTCCAGCATATTCTCCTCTTTTGCCTTTGTTGTCTGGCAGCATAAAGGTTTGCCACAAAACTTTGCCTGTCCACACATCTAACTTGGCAAACCTGCCACGGAAGGTGCAACAATGTGCTTTACTTGAACCTTCTTCCAGTGAAGATGTTCCAACATAGAAAGCCCTGTTGAGGAACACAAACAAGAATTCATTTCATTTACAAACTATAGCACACAAATACATGTGACACAACCCATGTGTATTCTCTCGATCTCAATCCTGGATTTACATGCTTGTACATAATCATTAGAATTGAACCTTCTTAGTTACTATTGGTGGCATCGGTGAAGGACCAAGTCCAGCACTAGGTGACTCGGGGACTCTAGGGTGAAAGCTTAAAATGCCTCCAGCACTCTATCTCTCGAAAATGTGAGGATAAAAGGAAATAAAGTTGAGCATTTGCTACGAGTTATAACTTGGGGGAATTGTTGGGCAGAGGTCCATGAAGGGTCAAGTCCAGCACCAAACTGTGTAGTTAAGGCTGATCTGACCGTGCGGGGGAGATTGTTGGGCATGAAGGGCCAAGTCTAGTATCAAGTGACTAGGGAGATTGTTGGGCAAAACCCGAAGGGTCAAGTCCAGCACCATACCTCTAAAAATGTGATGATATATATAAGAAAATAAAGTTGTGTCTTTGCTATGAGCTAGAACTTGAGATAGAGGTCGGTGAAGGGCCAATTCTAGTACCAAATTGTGCAGTTAAGGCTGACAAGTGTAGGAGGAATTGTTGGGTGGAGGCCGATGAAGGGCCAAGTAGTCCACCAGCAGGTGGGTAGAGGGATTTTTGGGCGGAGCAGAGGTTGATGAAGGGCTAAGTCTAACACCAAATGACTAAAGGAATTGTTGGATGGAGGTCTCAAAAATGTGATTGGTATAAGAAAATAAAATTGTGTTTCACTACGAGTTATAACTTTTGACGCAGTAGTAAGTGCTTGATCCTACTCCTACAGGATATCCATGTAAAAGTCCAATCCTTACAACTAACTAACAAAGAATAATATAGAGCTGAGGATCAGAGCATAAACTTACCCATTGTAATATGTTCCAGACATTGTAATGAGACCTGCAGGATGCCTGTCAAGGAGGGTCATCCATAAGAGATCTCCAGTTGCTCGTTTGACACCAATCACAACAGCCGGACCATAAATCCCTATGATTAGTGTCTCACCAACAATGGAAGGGGTTGATCTGGAAACAATTGCAGTCACATTACCAGTACGTACAGTTGCATTAAGGCCAGTTAGCTTTTGAAGGTTCCTCTCCCACAACAGAGACCCATCACTTGCATTCACTGCATAGAGATACCCATTCCAGCTTGGGAAATACACCACCCCTTTCAATATTGCAGGCGTCGCTGATATGTCTTTGCCTGCATAAAATTCCCATTTCAACTTTAGCTTAGACACAGTTGAAGGGCTAATCTTGTTCTCGCCGCAGGCATATCTGCGGTTGTATATATCACCGCCATGATTTAGCCAGTTTCCTGAAGCTGGGCAGCTGAATCTTGTTATATGCCACTGATCCAAACCGACCACCATAAACAAACAAGAACATACATGTTAAATTAAACTACGTACCTCAAGTACAGAGATCAGAGACAACCTTAAAGAGAAAACTAAACACGGAAAGACATGCTTACTTCTGGTTTGGCAGTTGCGCTGATGCAAATCAGAAAGATAATAATGCACACACAATAATAAAGGAGCGGCTGACCATGGGTATGACAATGAGCCATAGATCAGAGTGGAAGCTTATTGTTTCTATGTCCACCCAGAAATAGCCATTAGCTCTATATATATAGGGGGTGTTTGGTATAACCGTTAGTTGTTAGCTAATTGAGTTAGTGAGTTTGATTAGTTGATAATATTAGCTGATTGTAGAACTATGTTTGGTAAATTAGTTGTTAGCTGATAGATGTTACATGCAAAATGACTTTTTCAAAAAGCTTATTTAAAAAACTACTTTGAGCAGCATTTTGAATTTTAACATTTTGGAGCAATAAATTGTTACAAAAAGCTAATTAATCAAACACTTATATTAAACCAAATTAAATAGTTAATAGTCATCAAATAAATTAAAATTGGTTGATAACTAACTATGTTATCAAAGAGGTCAAAGGTTACCATCGTGGCTAAATTAGTAGGGGAAGAAATCATACAATAGATATGAGATGACGAAAAGATAATAGTCTGATGGATAATGGCCGGTGCTGCTTATATACAAATTTGCTGCATTACCTAGTTGACATAACTTTATATATATAATTTGTATTACGTTTAACCAGTTTACTAGTAACAAATATGTATAAAAGTTGTAAAGTCAAATCAATATATGTTTATCATGACGGTGATATTTAATTAATTACTGGATCATTTCTATGTGTGCTTATGTACGCAATAAAGTCAACAGTCTAACATTACTACATAATTCAATTCAATTTATGTCAATTTATGGTGCATTTCTTAACATTGTTGGTGCATATTTACATAACTATTGGTGCAATAGCACCTAAACTCTGATATATATATATTGAAAAAATCGCTAGGCGCCTGGAGACCGCCTAGGGTGCCTAGAGCGCCTAGGCGCGATTTTTGGGACATTTTCAACCCTTCTCCCCTTATCTCCTCATTTTGTGAGTTCATGTCCTCCACATCACTATATAATCTCATCTCTTATTTTTCTCTCAAATTATTCTCTATTTTTCTCTCCCTTTTTGTGGGCTCTACTCCTCTATATTCCTACACATCATTATTTTTTATTCACTTTTTTACCAGTAAAAATTTCAAATTTATAATTTTAATTTCAAATTTTAATTTTAATAAAATAAATTTAAATAAAAAATAAATAATTCTTAACTTATAAAATATAATTTCATTAAAAAATCAAAATATAAATTCATAAAGCTTTTATTCTCAAAAAAAAATAAAAAAAAATATTGTAACCTCAACGGCAAAATGCAAAAATGACCGTTAAGGTCAAAATTTTGAATCAAAACACGCAACAACATCAGTTCAAAAGACTTTACGCATCTTTACTAAGAATAAAGACGCCTTTTTGTATTTTTATTTTGTATAGAGACAATACGTGTCTTTACCAAACCCTAAGGTTCCTCTTTCTTTCTCTCTTTTGCCGCACTACACTTCTCCCTTCCGCACCTCCGTCTCTTCCACCTTCCCCGCCTCCACCGCGCAGTACACTAAACTTCTCTATGTCTTCGTCTCGCTCGTCCTCGGCGGCTCCCTTCCGGGCCGCCGCGCATAAGTCGTCCCCAAGACGGAGTGCGTCAAAGAGCCGGCGGTGGCCGTACTCCGCGGCGACATCATTCGACGGCATCTTATGATTCAGATCTATCGTGAGAGGCGATGGCGGCTTCAGATTCGACCAACACATCGCGTGTTCTACATCCAGTGGCGGAGGTGGCGGCATTGAAGACTTCAAATCGGCATCTCTCCCTTCTGATCCAGCCTTCGATCTCCATTTACTGCGACGAAGACGACTGTTACGATCTCCTTGGGTGATTTTCTATTACGATCCTTTCTTCTACTTTGCATTGCAGTGAATCAATTTTATTTGATTAACTTATAATTTTTTTTTTTTTTTTTTGGGTGTTTTCAGAGTCTCTCAAAATGCTAATGCCTCCGAAATTAAAAATAGTAAGTTCTTCTTTCTCTATTACTCCGTAATCTTTTAGACTTTTAGGTATGTGTAGTTTCAAAGTTCTTGCCTTCCTTTTTCAATTTCTTTGTTTAGTCATCCAGATAAAAATCCTGATCTAGAATCAAGGAAGCGCTTTGTCAAAATTGCGAATGCCTATACTTCCACCACAAATGCACAATCGTCAACGAAATTACCAGTATAAAACTGAAAATAATCCGTCAGAAAAAAATTGCAGAGTTAAAAGTAATCTGTCACAATCGTCAACGAAGTTACCAGTAAGTAATAGATGCTATATTGCTATCTTTGCCGCTTAACATACATTGTGGTGGAAAAATGTTGTAATTTCTTGAAGGATCTCCCTCTATAAGGAAGAGTATGGATGTTAAAATCTGTAGTTTCTACTATCTTGTCTAAGATGAAAATGAATCTGATCATTTATAAGCATATAGAGCGATACATTATTCTCAATTCACTTGTATTTTTGTTAGCATATATTGTTTATTGATTAAGCAAGTGTCACCATATTTGACTGGTAAGATAGGGGTGAGAAACTTTGCCTTTGTGGGAATTGTGGGTGGTATTAAACAGGTTGATTCTTTACTTGCAGATACTGAAAGATGAAGCCACAAGAGAACAGTATGATTATGCAATTGCCCACCCAGAGGAAGTTAGTTGCAACTCCTTGTGATAATTTTGTATGAAGTAATGCTGATGTTTGTTGTTCTGCTTTTATATCACTTATGAATTTGTTTTTGCAATATTGAAATTCAGTGATAAGCATGCAATCTTTTTGACATTTTCACTTCTGCAATGTGGGGGATATCAAAAATTCACAATTAAGTGATGTGGGACACTGAAGTGATGTCAGGTATTCTACAATACAGCACAATACTACCGTGCTTATTATGGTCACAAAACTGTGAGTGCCTTCTTCCTGACCTCCTCTGTGGTTGTTAGCTTTCAAATTTTAATCTCAGTTTCCTACAAAACAAATTTTCCTTTTTTTATTATTATTATTATTATTATTATTATTATTATTATTATTATTATTATTATTATTATTATTATTATTATTATTCCTATTTCTAAGATCCTCGTGCTGTCCTTATTGGCCTTCTATGAAGCCGCAAAGATAATATTTGCATTTATTTCTAATTGGGGAAAATTTGCAAGCACACTTGTTATAAGCTGCTTGGGATCACATGTAGTTCAAAGATATTGTTGTCGAAGTTGCCAATGTGGAGATTGTCGGCAATGTAGTTAGCATCCCCAAGGTCAACAATTATGTGTGTCAAGCAGCAGCAGCAAGTTTGACAAAATTAGCCACAATTGTTGACAAAGAAATTTATAGTTTAGTCCATAGACTTTTGGCTATCTACAAAATACCCCTAACCTTCAACTAGAGGTGTAAACGAATCGAATCGGGTCAAATATCTCACTATTTGATTCAAATTTGACTATATATTCGAATATTCGTATTCATATTCGTTTAATATTCGAATCTCAAATTTGATTCGTATTCGTATTCGACCAGTTTATTCGAATATATTCGATTCGACTTGAATATTCGAATTCGAAATGCCAAACTTAATTTTTTTACAAAATTCTCCAATAAATTAAGATAAAATGTTATAAAAATTTATATTTAAATAGCATAAAATATTCGAATATATTTAAGTACTATTCGAATCGAATACACTCTAATTTGTATTCGTATTCAAAATAAATTTGAATAATAAAAAGTATTCGAATTCGGATTCGAATCGACATATTCAAATTCGAATCATGAATCGAATTTTTTTATTTGATTTATTTATACCCCTCCCTTCAACTATAAATAGGATGTTCATTTGCCATTCGTATCATCTCATCCCAATCTCATCTTGTATCTCTTTTGATAGAATTGTATTTCTTTTGATAGAATAGCTTAGCATAGCAAAGTTCTTTTAAAAAGAGATAGAGAGTTATATTGTAACTCCTATTGTAATATGATTTTGCCAATACAAAAATCATTCTCCAAAATTGCCTTATTGCGTGTATGATTTATTCTAAATGTTACACTAAAAATATTCTCAATGACAACTTGGGTGGGAAATATTGAGAATATTTCTAGTGTAAGATTTAAATAAATCATACACACAATAAGGCAATTTTGAAGAAGGATTTTTTCTATTGACAAAATAATATTACAATAGGAGTTACAATATAACTTTCTTTTTCTCTGTAAAAGAAATTTCCTATGCAAATCAAGATGAGATACAAGATGAGATTGGAATGGGATGAACAAAATGTCAAATCATCTCCCTATTTATAGTAGAAGATTAGGGAATGTTTTGTAGATAGCCTAAAATCTAGGGGCTGAATTGCAAATATCTTTGTCAACAATTGTGGTTAATTTGTCAAATCTTGATGTTGCTGCTTTGCTGACACACACACAATTGTTGCCTTTGGGGATGTACATTGCCGATAATCTCTCACTTGGAGCTTAGATTGTAACAATCATATCTTCACACCATTCCCTTTTTGCCAATTCCCTGTTGCTTGCATAATTGTTAGGCCAATTGAAGATCTACATCATACACACTTATTGTTGGTAATTGGTTTTGTCAACATATCTGTCATGTTATCGTATGGGTTTTTTGTATATCCACACTTCCTTCTTCCACCTTTTTACGAACAAAGTGATATTGAACTCGTATGTGTTTCGTCTTGGTGTGAAATGCTTGATACTTTGTCAAGTACAAAGCGCTCTGACTGTCACAAAATAGAGTCATTTTATATACTTTGTGCCCGAGCTCCTCCAATAGCATCCGCAATCATATAGCCTGTTTACTAGCTTGAGTAGTAGTTATATATTCTGCTTCTGTCGTTGACGTTGCCACAACAGATTGCAACTTCGAGACCCATCTTACTGTTCCGCCAGCAAGAGTAAACACATAACCCGTGGTGGATTTACTACAATCAAGATTACCTACATAATCTGAATCAACATAGCCTTTAATGAAGTCTGATCCTCCATAACACAATGCAATATCTGAGGTACCCATGATATATCTAAGAATCCTCTTAACATAGCCTCTCTATTTCGTTGCTAGGACTCATACTTGAGGATAACTTGAAATTAATGAAGCCACAAAGATAATATTTGCATTTATTTCTAACTGGGGAAAATTGGCAAGCACACTTGTGAAACAGATTTAATAGGCGGATGATTTTGAAGAAGTGAGTGAATTCTATCAAAACAGGGGTTGTTTCAATGAATTAATCTCTCTTATGGAATGTGGGTCAAGATTGGAGCGTGCACATATGGGTATCTTTATAGAGCTTGGGTATTGTATGCCAGATACCGTCATGAGAAGTTCTTGGAACATATTAAATTCTCCTCCATCTGTCTTAACATTCCTAAGCTTATTCCAGCATGTGATGAGCAGCAGCACTGGAAGGAGCTTACGTATCTGTACATCCAATATGATGAATTTGATAATGCTGCAACTACTGTCATGAACCATTCCCCAGATGCTTGGGATCACATGCAGTTGAAGTTGTCGAAGTTGCCAATGTGGAGCTGTATTACATGGCTGCCCACTTCTATTTGCAAGAATATCCTAATCTGATTAATGATCTTCTTAATGTCCTTGCACTAAAGTGGACCACACCATGGGTGGTGGACATCCTGAGAGGTAAAAGGCTTCCCCATTTGTTCACCTTCCTTGTTAGCTTTTACTCATTCAACAATTATTTTGTACAGCACGGCTTAATCCCGGATGCTGTTTCAGTCACTACTGCACTTACTGCAGTTTCATCAGTAGCAGCGCTACTTAAAGGAAAGGCTATTCATGGTTTACCTTATAAGATATCAGATTCAAGAAGATAATCAAGTGGAAAATGCCCTCACTGATATGTACGTCAAAACTGGATGCTTGAAATATGCAGAATGTAGTTTCACTAACATGTCTGGTAGAAGCTTGATCACGTGGAATTTTATGATTGCAGGTTATGGATCCCATGGAAGTGCTTCAAAGCCATCAACTTGTTCAGTAAAATGAGAAGATCTGGAATCGCACCCGATCACGTAAAATGGAATTAGCACACACATTTATTTTAACTTCATTCTCAGAACATTTAAGTTTTTTGGTGGAAGTCAGTATAAGCTTGTTTATATGCATAGTTAAGTGTGTTTGTGAATTTATTGTGTCCTTTTGATTGTTACTTTATATGATGGAAATACTTAAATATGCTGCATGAAGTGAGATTAGATATATTCTATTATAATATAATAATAGTAATATAGAATTGAAGTAATATTTTTCTCCAGAAATATATCATTCATTTAGCAGTCTGGATGCTTTGTTTCATGATTTTCACAGCTCAATTGTAGCAGGTAATGATGCTATAGTAGGCATTTAGGCAGCTGTATCCTCAAAGTTGGCGAGAGGTTTAGTAGCTTATAGCTCAAAGTTGTTTATTCTTAGTAAAACTAATAAATAGTCTTAGCCTTTAATAGGTTGGAGCAAATATTTTGATGCTTCAGACTTAAAAGAACAGATTTATGAATTTCTTATGCAGAGTTCTATATTCCCTGCCTCGCGATCTGGTGACCGTGAACTTGCTGAGGAGTTGCTGGTTTATTTCATTGAACAGGTAAAAATATGGTTTTTTTTTTTCTCTCTTCATTTAACATGTGAATAAAATTTACTTTCTCGAGAAAAGGGCTCTAGAATTTGAATTGTTGGTGGATGTAAGTAATATGTATGCTATGCTTTTGCAGGGAAAGAAGGAATGCTTTGCCTCATGCCTCTTTGTTTGTTACGACTTGATTCGCCCAGATGTTGCTCTCAAGTTGGCCTGGATCAACAATATGATAGACTTTGCCTTCCCTTATCTATTGCAGGTGACTCTCATTCTCTTGCTCTCACCTACCCTTGCTTATTGTTCGAGTCTGACCAACTTAGCTTATGAGGGCATTAATCAAATGTTAGGATTTAATTAATCCTAAGTTGCTATATATTTTTAACATCCATAGTTTGTAGATACCTTCTAGCCAAAAGAGTGTAAATAAATGTTTGGCAGAAGAATAAAAGTGAACCTTTAGACTTGTATTTTATTTATGGCTTGTGGTACACTCCACTGCTATATATGTATAGTCTTTTGTCATGGTTCTATTGCTTGGAGTTCATACGAGAGTATACTGGCAAAGTTCACGAACTAATCAAAGATAAAATTGATGTTTAAAATGAGGCAAACTAAAGAGAATGAAGAAAAGGATGTTCTTAAGCAGCAGACATTTATTTTGTTCACCACTATTCTTTTTAGCTTAGATGCAAACCCTCATAATTGCAGAATATGTATGCCCAGCTGCTACCTCTTGCTTTACCTGCTACCTCTTACTTATAGGTAAAGACGCCTATAGTGCATATTTTTATTTTAAAAACAGAAACAGACTATAGGTAGACTTGGTATATTTTCTCATCTATGCCATACGCCTCTTTACTATAAACGAAAATGACACATCTCTGTGGCGGTTGATGACCATTTAAATAGAATAGCTGATGAAGTTCATGGGTGGTTCAGCCTATGGGAATCTAAGGGATTTTAGGGCCGAAATTCCTGAAGGCTCGAACTTGGGCTTGAAGGAATTGGGGCAAGAAAAGGGGAATAATTCTAAGGAGGATAAATCCAAATGCAAAGGCCTTTCACTTTTGTAGCCATAATGGTGAGGCAGATTCTATTCCATCCAACAAGAAGTTGGAGTTTTGTTTCACTAAGGAGGATAGGGCACTGGGTTAAATCCAATTGTTGAAGTCTACCTCGTCCAGTCTTTTGGGATCGAGGGATTTGGAGGGATTATTGAGTCTGAGGATTTCCTCACAGCTTCTTGGTGCGGGTTCTGACTCAGATTATAAGCTTAGTGAGGTGTGGT